CAATGTTCAGCGAGTTAATGGAGCTACCTATGCTGCTATTGCAGCGGGTAGAAATCAAAATACTAACCAACGTTCTAACGGAAATTTTGACAATTTTGACTTAGGAAGCATTACTGCTCCTAAAATGGAATTTTTACAGAATTCATTAATTGACATGATTTCTGATATGCTTAAATCTAACTCCATGTTTGATGCTATTCAAACTGGAGTAAAATTTGCTAATAATATTGTCATGACTTTAAAATTCAGTAATGGATTTTAAAGCATTAAACATTTTAAATTGGAATGCTCGATCTCTTAAAGATAATGAAGACGAGCTATTTAATTTTTTGAGAGTTCATAACGTGCATATTGCCGTTATAACTGAAACGTTCCTTAAACCTGGCCATAAGGTTAAGAAGGACTCAAATTATTTAATTTATAGAAATGATCGTCTTGATGGACCCTGTGGTGGCGTTGCCATCATTATTCATAGACGAATCAAACACAAAATACTTTCTTCATTTGAAACCAAAGTTTTTGAAACTTTGGGAGTTTCTGTTGAAACAAAATTTGGACAACTTACGTTTATAGCTGCCTATTTGCCATTCCAATGCGTAGGCCAGCAAAAGAATTTTCTCAAGGGTGACCTTCAGAAACTTACCTGTCATAGGTCTAAATTCTTCATTATTGGTGATTTTAATGCAAAACACCGCTCATGGAATAATGCTCAAAGCAATTCCAATGGCAATATTCTGTTTGATGATTGTTCTGCAGGTTATTACACTATTCAATATCCAAACAGCTCAACATGCTTTTCTTCTGCAAGAAATCCCTCAACTATTGATTTGGTCTTAACTGATTCATGTCAACTTTGTAGCCAATTGGTTACCCATGCTGACTTCGGTTCTGATCACCTTCCAGTAACTTTTGAAATATCCCAAGAAATAATTTCTAATCCCAACAGCTTTACTTTCAATTACCATAGGGCTGATTGGGAGCAATATCGAACATTTATGGAATATAACTTCGATCCAAACATTCCTTTGCAAACCAAAGATGAAATTAATTATGCTCTTGAATCTCTGACTACTTCTATAGTTGAAGCAAGAGCTGCCTCAGTACCAAAATGCGAGGTTAAATTCGATTCAATTATAATAGACGATGATCTTCAGCTCTTGATCCGTCTTAAAAATGTCCGTAGGAGACAATTTCAAAGAACACGCGATCCTGCCATGAAAGTTATCTGGCGGGATTTGCAAAAACAAATTAAAAAGCGATTCTCTGCCCTGAGGAACAAAACTTTTGAAAATAATGTTTCTAAATTAGACCCGAGTTCCAAACCCTTTTGGAAACTCACAAAAATTTTGAAAAAACCTCAGAAGCCAATTCCAGCGCTTAAAGAAGGTGGTAAAATTTTGATCACAAATTTGGAAAAAGCTCAGAAACTTGCTAAGCAATTCGAGAGTTCCCTTAATTTCAGTTTGGGTCTTACTAGTCCTATTGAGAATCAGGTTGCTCGGGATTTTCGGAATATTTTCTCTCGGGAAAATATTTTTGATGATTCCTGGGGGACTGATTTGGACGAAGTAAGGTCTATAATTAAAAAATTTCAAAATATGAAAGCTCCAGGTGATGATGGAATTTTCTATATCCTCATCAAAAAACTCCCAGAGAGTACCTTGTCTTTCCTGGTAAAATTATTTAACAGATGTTTCCATTTGGCATACTTTCCTGATAAATGGAAAAATGCAAAAGTTGTTCCAATGTTGAAGCCGGATAAAAATCCAGCTGAAGCTTCTAGCTACCGTCCAATAAGTTTGCTTTCTTCAATAAGTAAACTTTTTGAAAAAATAATTTTGAATAGAATGATGCTTCACATCAATACGAACTCAATTTTTGCAGATGAGCAGTTTGGATTTCGCCATGGGCATTCAACTACTCATCAACTCTTGAGAGTTACCAATTTAATTCGTTCAAACAAATCTGAAGGCCACTCAGCTGGAGTTGCTCTTCTAGACATAGAAAAAGCATTCGACAGTGTTTGGCATGAAGGTTTGATTGCTAAATTGAAAAAGTTTAATTTTCCACTTTACATTATGAAATTAGTTCAAAATTATTTAACTGACAGAACTCTACAGGTAAATTATCAAAATTCCAAATCTAATCGACTACCTGTTAGAGCAGGAGTTCCTCAGGGTAGCATTCTTGGGCCTATATTGTATAACATTTTCACTTCGGACCTCCCTGATTTGCCTCAGGGTTGCCACAAATCTTTGTTCGCTGATGACACAGGCATTTCCGCTAAAGGAAGAAGTCTTCGTGTTATTTGCAGCAGACTGCAGAAAAGTTTAGATATTTTCTCTTCTTATTTACAAAAATGGAAGATTTCTCCCAACGCTTCCAAAACTCAACTTATAATATTTCCACATAAGCCTAGAGCTTCGTTTTTGAAACCTAGTAGTAGTCACATAGTCACTATGAACGGAGTTCCAATTTCCTGGTCAAACCAAGTGAAATATCTTGGATTAATACTTGACCATAAATTAACTTTTAAAGATCACATTGAGGGCATTCAAGCCAAATGTAACAAATATATAAAATGTTTGTATCCTCTTATAAACAGGAAATCCAAACTTTGCCTGACGAATAAACTTCTAATATTTAAACAAGTTTTTAGACCGGCCATGCTTTACGCTGTGCCAATATGGTCTAGTTGTTGCACTACCAGGAAAAAAGCACTTCAAAGGATTCAGAACAAAATTCTGAAGATGATTTTGAAGTTGCCTCCCTGGTACAGTACTACCGAAGTACATAGAATTTCGAATGTTGAGACTTTAGCACAAATGTCCAACAAAATAATTAATAATTTCCGGCAAAAATCGTTACAATCCTCAATTGCAACGATTAATTCCCTTTATACTTAGATAAGATTTAGTTTTAGTTATTTAGTTTTAAGCTATCAATTGTTATACTGACATGCAGGCTTAAAAAACCTGTTTAAAATACTGAATTGCCAAGACAGGAACAATGTAAAAACACTTCGATATATATCATAACAATTAAGGCTGGTAAGTTACTGTAGTAACTGGAGCACCTAGGTTAAAAATGAAATGTAATTTATTTTGAATTTGAAACAAATAAAGAGTTAAAAAAAAAAAAAATCGAAAGAGAAAGTCGACGACAAGAATCGATCAATGTTACTTAGGACCTAATGCAATGTTCAGCTTGATTTGTGCTCTTGAAACGAAATTTTAAGATGGTAATGAGTTTGATCAGAAATTAGGCTTCCACAGCGATTCATTCTCGTAACGCTAAAAAAAATGCACACGCAAAAACGGGGTGCACAATTTTGCACCAATGTTATGCAACATTTCGTAGTTGATCGGGAATATCTCGATTATCCCTCCAATAAGATCTCTGTAAATCTTTTATCTTCCGATTGAGCAAAACAAATTACTAAGTATTGCTGTTTTTTTTAAAGATTTCGTTTGCATTTTGTTGACGCACATGCATCATTTGGAATAAGACCACGGAGCGTTTCTGTGTTGAGAAAATAGTGGCTTCCATATCTATCACAGATTACAAATTCGACAGTGAACATGTATAAGGGCCTAACCGCAATGATCGATTCTCTCTTTAGTTAATAACTCCCTTGGATTGACATTTCTCTTTGCTTTTGATCAACCCGGGGGCAACTTGACCAGTCCAGTATATTGCCAGTGTACCCCGAAAATTTGGTGCTGGGTGTTCTGTCAAACTCACAAATTTCAGAAGTTTTATCTGAATAGGGTGAATGCGGAAATGATGTACAGTACATAAAATGCAAGCTTAAAGTTAATCTTATTGCATATACGGGAAATGGTTGGCCAATGGATCTAAGGTGAACACGTCATTGGGACGGTACTAATGGATATTTTTGGTCGCTATTGAAAATTTAGTCGATTGCTGAATTTATGTATGGGCCCCTATTAGGGGCATTTACATTAAATTGCATCCATTTCTCCTAAGATCAATTGAACTTATAACTAAAAAAATCAATTATTTACTTTTAGAACCCACAGCTAACCTAATACCACAGACAAACAGACATAACACATTGAATATTTATCACTGTAAAACATCGTTGCTAAAACATTACCGCCATCTGTTGAATACACTGTGGTGGGTAGTACGCTGAACAGATGGCGGTGTGGTAACGGTGTAGATAAGTCGTGATTTCGACCATGCAGAATAATCCCCGAAAGAGTAGGAGATAAAGTGAGAGAGGGACGAACATATGATCAGGACAAGTTGGTCAGGTCTGAGATGTGTATATAATGGGCAGGAGAAATATATATGAGTTAAATCGTTTGTGATTATCAACCGAACGAGTTGTTTGATTTATAGATAGTATCTCTACCCGAAGAAGGCCAAGTTAAAACAGGCGGTAGTGTGTAAACGTCAAACGCAAGGGAATTGACTATGCACGCCACAGGTGGCGGTACTACCAACTACGATACTTTTAAATTTACCGTTAAATGCTTGTTCAATGAACAACTTGCGAGTGTTATGTCTGTTTGTCTGTGCTAATACTATTGTTATCACTGCGTCTGAGCTACACCCGATGTACTGAAGTAGCTACCAGAATCGGTAAGAGTAATTTCTTTCAAAGCTCCTAGAGATGAAGACAATTAATTTATACGATGAAAATTTCTATTAGTTCTTACTGCTAAAACAATATATATTATTATTATATTATTGAAATTTATAAAGGCAATTAAACGTAAGTAACCTAAAATTACATGAAACTTACAACAAATTCTTACCATTTCCTAAGCTAATATGCAAGCTACACTGAAACAGAATCCATTGGAAAAAAACGATATTGATAGTTAAATACCCTCACCAATAGATTTTTGCAGAAAACAATTTCATGTAATTTTATTATTATTTCTATCAAAATTACTATGCATTTTGAGCAAGCATAGTAGTTATGCCAGAATCATAGAAAATTTGTTAACATTCATAGTCATCTATACTGAAATCATAGTAGATTTAACGGTAATAAGCGTGGTTATATTGAAAATAGGTGTTTTCTGCAAAATAGCATTCCTAACTATGGTCCTTGTTTCAACAAAATGAAAACTAACATACAACATACTAAACTAACATGCAACTTAAACTGTTATACAAATGGAATCTAATGAGGACTATGTATTCTACCAACTAGTTACGAAAATTATATTCTCGCTATATCAACAACCGGACCGTAATTTATTCATTTGTATTCGGTCGAGAATCATAATTTCGGAAACCCGTTGAACTAAATTCAACATCCCCCTAACTAAAGCATAAAACAAATTTCGTGCCGTTTTAAAATCTTTATTTCACTTGATCCTTGTGATTTTTTGCCACATGTCGTCTCAGTGACCCTCGACAGCTATAGGATGTGCTACACAGCTCACACACGAACGCCTTATATCCCATGTGCGACGCGGCCACGTGGTCATTAAGATGCGACTTTTGAAAGTAGCGCTTTGGACATTCCGGACAAGCAAAGGCCCGTTCCTGACGATGCTTGGAGCGCATGTGCTTCGTCAGATGGTCCTTACAGGCAAACGACTGATCACATTCCGGGCAAGCGTAACTTTTACTTTCACTGTGCTTCTGGCGTATGTGGGCATTTAGGTTCGAATTGGCAGTGAATTTTTTGCTGCAATACACGCAAGTGAAAGCCTTGATGTCGGTGTGCCTTTTCAGGTGGTATTTCAGACCGGATATCGAGGTGAACTTCTTGTCACATAGAGTGCAGAACAGACTATCTGGTAGTGTGGGATCGCTGCTCTGAATTGAGTTCGCACTCGGAAAAGACCCGTCTTCACGGGCTTCCATTTGAGCGTAGAATGAGCATTTATGTTTTTCAAGATTGCATTTCTTGAAGAACGTGCGATCGCAAAGCTTACAAGTATATGCATAGGTGGAACCTTTTTCACAAATCGTATACTCTTTGTCTTCTTTTCGTACTAGAGATAAGGCTTCTTCTGCTTCGGGAATAATATTTTCAACAAATCTAGCATTGTCTTTAAGATGCTCCTGGCGATGATTTCTGTACTCTAGTAGCTTGTTGAAATTCGCTCCGCAATCGTTGCAAACTATGCAGGCAATATGATGCATCTCGGCTAGATGGATAGTTAGAAGCGCTTGTTTCACGAAGCCTTCGTCACACCTAGGACATTTATATTTGGCGCTGCCTTCCGTTGTTTGGCCATCTAAATAAAAGTCGTAGTTATCGATTAGGTATTCCTCCCCACCTTCGATGTATTTAGTCCAGATTTGATCATTTTCAAAAGCTTCATCCAAGAATTCTTCCAGGATCATCTTATTGGGGTTGAGAATATTTTCTTTAGGATTATCGCCACACATAGAGCTTTCAGCGATACGCATCAAGTTCAAGTGTTTGAAAAAATCGTCTTTATTGTCTTCCTGTTTCGATTTACCTGGTTCGAATTCTAGAATAATGTCTTTAGCGAAGAATGTTTCATTTAAAAGTTTTGCGTAATCCCCATCATTATCCTCTAGGCTTTTGTGCTTTTTCTGAAAATGTTCGCTCAATGTGACAACATCCTTGAATGAAGAATCATTCGAGCAGTGGCCACAATAGTACTCGTTTTGCTGCACGTTATGCGCTGATCTTAAATGTCTGTTTAAGGATTTTCTTAGTGCTTCTGTCTTCGAGCAACGCTTGCATACGAAAAGTCGATTTTTATGATCATTCCTGACGTGTTCCAGTAGTTTCTTTTCAGTCAACCATCCGCAATCGCAAAATCTGCATAGGAAATCAACGTGACACGCGAGATGGTTGATGTAGTTGATCTTAGTTGTAAAATCTCGCAAACATTGCTCGCACCGGAACTGTTGGGCGTCACTTTTGTGACAATAGGTCGAGTGTTGTTCCAAACCACGGTTAGTTTTAAAGGTTTTGTGGCAATGTTGGCAATAGTAGTGGTGGGAAATTATTCCAACATGAACTAGTTTCCGATGGCGTTGTAGCGCGAGATTGTTCTCAAAATTTAAGTCACATGTATCACACGGGTGTAGTAACTTCTGGAAGATACCTTGATCAACGAGTGAAGTCTCAACAGATGGTGGTGCTAGTTCCGGTGGAGTACTGCCGACCGTTCGCAGAAAACTTTGATGAAAACTGTAAGCCGATTGCAGCTGTTTCGAACATTCTTCACAAAACGAAGATGGAACAGCAAAATTCTGTGGAAAAATATTTTGTTTTGGTATTATTTTAAGTTAACAGAAAACTTTACTCACGACAGGCAGCTTGAAAATATCTAGCATACTGCAGAGCGTAACGCTGTAACATTGGCTAGATGTCCGGGAGTCGATCGTAGTTATTTCAGTTCTCAAACACAAGCCACACATAGAATTCGGGCTTGAAAAGTTTATAGTGAACATTGTAAAAACAGTACTATGCGTAAAAGATTTTAGGCGATGAAATTCCAAATTCCATAACTTCGATTGCAAAGAATCAAAACAAACTGCTTGTTGTATACCAAGTATGTATACGTTCGGTTTTGTGTAACATAACTAGCGGTCGCTTATATAAACACGTTTCATTAGTGTGCATGCGTGCAATCAATTCGGTTAAGTTGTATGCGTGAAACCATTATAATTGCTTGTATCGCACCTCATTGATCAAAGCTTTCGAAGTGCTTCTGACGGATGATTTTTTTTCACTGGGGTTGTCATTCTACTTCGACTTTCGATTATTTTGCTTATTTTCACGTGTTGTACCGCGCGATGTGAACGAATTGTTGTAAACTTTTTTTTCTCGAAAATTACGACTAACTTCAAGTTATTTTAAGTGTTTTCGTACTGAAATGGCAAAGTTGAAACCGAATACAAAACCTCCCCTTGGTGGGAAGCGACCAAAGGATACAAAATTCAAGCAAAAACCGAAGCAGCAGAACGGCAAACGCAGGTTCAAGTTTTCAGTGAAAGATGAGGAATCGGAAATCAGCCGGTTAACCAAGCTCTACGCAACGGCAAAAATCGAAGAATCAAGTAACTTCAGTGATTTTCCGCTTTCGAAGAAAACTCTACGTGGTTTGACTCAAGGACAGTACAAGAAACCCACCGCGATCCAGCGGGAATCGATCCTGCCGGCTCTTCAGGGAAAGGATATTCTAGCAGCAGCCAAAACAGGAAGTGGAAAAACGTTGGCGTTTTTGATTCCCGTTTTCGAGAAGCTGTACATTAACCAGTGGACCCGATTGGATGGACTGGGTGCTCTGATAATAACGCCGACTCGGGAATTGGCACTGCAAATTTTCGAAACCGTGGCAAAAATCGGCAAACAGCACGATTTTACTACTGGACTCATAATCGGAGGTCAAAATTTAAAGGCAGAAAAAAGTCGCTTGCATCAATTGAACATCATCATCTGCACCCCCGGTCGTTTGCTGCAACATATGGACCAAAACCCTCTGTTCGACTGTATGAATATGAAAATTTTGGTCTTGGATGAAGCGGACCGTTGCCTGGATTTAGGATTCGAATCAGCTATGAATGCAATCATAGAGAATCTGCCGTCTGAGCGGCAAACGATGCTTTTCTCCGCCACTCAAACGAAATCGGTCAAAGATCTGGCGCGGTTGAACATGAAGAATCCGCTGTACATTGCACCTCATGAGAAGGAGGAATACACCACCCCTAGTCGACTGCAGCAGAACTACGTAGCGGTAGAAATTGGCCAGAAGCTAACCATGCTTTGGTCGTTCATCAAGTCCCACAGCAAGCAGAAGATTATTGTGTTCTTTGCCACTTGTAAGCAGGTGAGTAATAATACACTCTGAAAAATCGTCACGTTCGTTTTACATGAAAACATAGGTGGTTTTCGTCCACCCTACTTTTCACGTAACTTTTACCGGAATTGCACGTAGCCGATCAAAACTGAGCTTCGATTATCTATGTAATTATTCAGGTAAATAAGACCTGATTTTCACGTACTGCTTACGTGAAATCGGGGTGAATACTACTGGAAAACTCGTAACTTTTACGTGATATTCCGTTTCGTTTGAAATGTTTTTCACGTAATTTTTACGTGAATTTTGAAGTTTGAATGGTGCTTATATGTAGAAGCAATCAATATTATGAAATTTCATCGGGCATATATAAATTCCACGTGTTTAAATTGATACTTGTATCTACTCATAAGTATTGACTACTTGGTAGATAGAAATGTTTATGAGATTTTTTATTTCCGTCAAAATATTACTAACTGTTTGTAGACTCAAAATGCTGATGCCACCATCTGAAATTATAAAACTAGAAAAAGCTACATACAATCATAAATAATTTATTTTAAATGAATCAAATTACCGTCCAATATTTGTAGCAAGCTGCTGGGAAATTTTGAATTTTTGAGGTGTTCTTCCACCACGCTTGATGACGCTATATTGACTTTTTTGCGTACCTGAAAATCAAGTAAATCTCGTTTCGTGGAAATATCGAAGTCCCAAACACACAAATACACTAAATCTGTTTACGTGAATAATCGGTCGATTTCACCAACATTTTTAGTGGACATGACGTGTAATGCAGGTCAAAGTTACTAACGTCACGTAACATTTGAGATTTTCTAAAAACAGATCAGTTACGTGATATTTCACGTAAATCGGACATGAGGATTTTTTAGAGTGTACATTCATTTAAACACTGCACACAACGCGACATAAAGCGATACCGTAATGCACCGAATATTGGACGGTCCATTATTCGGGATTTTTTACCCTTCTTACAAAGAAGGGTATAGATATAACTTGAAAAACCGACTATCGATCCGAGGCCCGGAGGGCCGAGTGTCATATACCATTCGACTCAGCTCGACGAGATCGGAACATGTCTGTGTGTATGTGTGTATGTGTGTGTGTATGTAACGAAATGAACTGGATGACACAGGGGTGGGGGCTTGGTCACTGATAATGACAATAAAATAAATAAACTTGAATAAGTAAGAAGAGTCTGATCACACCATAGGTGGATAAATTCGGGTTTTTTTTTCTTGAATTTAACACTTTTTTCAACTACAGTGAGAACGCTGTATATAACACAATGAGTTGATCTTTAAACGTATGTTCACATGTTTCAAATACTTCCAGGTAAAATATTTCTACGAAATATTCCGTAAACTACGCCCAAGCATCTTACTTTTTCCTTTGTATGGCGGTATGAATCAGGAACGGCGGAACAAAATCTACACGGAATTTTGCTCGAAGAGTAACGTATGCCTTTTTGCCACCGATGTCGCCTCTCGAGGTCTGGATTTTCCAAAAGTAAACTGGGTCGTACAGTTAGATTGTCCGGAGGACGCCACGCAGTACATTCACCGGGCAGGTCGAACGGCACGCCTTAACACTAGCGGTGAGAGTTTGCTTGTACTGCTGCCCCAGGAAGAGGAAGGCGTGGTGAAGATGCTGGAGAAGACAAAGGTGCCAATCAACAAGATTCACATCGATGAAAAGCAACTGTTTTCGCCTTTGGTCAAAATACAATCATTTTTGGCTCAATCGCCCGAACTGAAAGAAACGGCCAAAAGGGCGTTTGTAGCGTACGTTAAATCGGTGGCATTGATGAAGGAAAAAAGTATATTTGACGCTTCGAAGGTTGATTTGGAAGCGTATGCCAAGTCACTGGGCCTGTTGGTGACACCGAGAGTTCGATTTTTGTCCAAAATGGAAAATAAGTCGAAGAAATCCAACGTCAAAACGGATGTTAAGGTAACCATAGAGGAAAACGATGAAGAAGACAGCGAAGGAGAATTGTTCACAGTTAAGAAAAGCGAAAGTAGTACTACAACGGAGAATATAGAAGAGGAAGCGAATAGAGAGCATCATGTGGTTATTGAATCCAAAAAGAAGGTTACCAAGGTAAAACTTTTGAAGAAAGCCTTGGTTACCAACAAGAAGATTAATTTCGACGATAGTGGAAACATGGTCGACGAGGAGGTTCGCGATGAAGTGTATGACATTGAGAAGGCTCGTGCTCAGCTGAAACTGGCAGATGCTGCAGACAAGGAACGATACAAATCACTCCAGAAGGCCAAACGTGTGGCTAAGAAGGAGAAACTGAAACGAAAGGCCGACGAAGAGAATGAAGAGGAGGATGATTTTGGAAGTGATGAAGAGCATAGCGTCGATTTGAACTGGCTTCCGGATCCGGATAAGGTGTACAAGGATCGTGATCAAGATGAGGAGAGTGAGGATGACTCATCAGCGGCTGAGGAAACGAACACAACCGTGGTGGCGAAGAAGACTGTGAAAAAGCGGAAGATTGCCGACAAGATCGGTGATATCACACTGACGGAGGCAGAACAATTGGCAATGAATCTTCTGAAGTAAGTCTTTATTGTACCTTCGCGGAAAACTTTAACGATAATAAATGTGTCATTTCTTTTGAGCCGTTTGAAGCCAGTCTCGTGGATTTTTCAACACATGTGTAATTTCACCTTCCTTGCTGTCTGCTGTGGGTACGTGCATGTATTCCCATTTCTGTGTTAAAAGAGTAAGGTAAATTTTACATCAGATTAGATGCTTTATATAGGTACGAGGGCATGCTAATTGTGATTTTGATGTTAACGTTTGTCAATTAAAACTTAGCTTAATTAGGTGGGAGTAGTGAAGGAATATTAGAATGACCTTTATTGTTTTAAGGACCGTGTTTACCTCTACCTCCTCACAAAGGTCACAGGAGGGAGATTTTGTTAGTAGGTTAGGTTCGTTGGATCAGGATTCACCTTGATAAGTGATGCGACCATAGTTTTGATTTAATGTATTCATTTCCGAAATTGACGCGAATAAGGCTTGCGATCGTTTGATCCCTGGTAGGCAAACGATGCGACCCTATCAATTCAGTATTGTAAAGTGGCCTGGGATGAAGCGCACGGTGTTCTGCTCAGCAAGCAAAAAAGGTTTGGCTATACCTTCGAACCCTTTACATTACAACAAACCGCCGGCATGAAGCTATTCAAATAGAATAATGTCCCGCATCATGCATACGTTATATATTACCGAGAAACCTCATTTTTCGCAGTACTATCTCACTAGCAGCCGACCGAGTGCTATCTCACTAGCTGGCTGAAAATCTCAATAATAAAGATTAAAAAGTAAGAGGTTGTATCCAAGACACGACCGTAGATTTGACGTAGGATTACGAAAGATATTTTTTTTTTCCTTGATTTGTTTTCCGTCGATCTTGTTTTCCGTGCTGAGCACCAATGCTACCGACGCCAGGGAGGCCACACCTGGACCCTACCTATCGACCCATCAACTCTTAAACCGGGGACCAACGGCTTTACTTCCTACTTCTGATCAGAGATGTTATGCCTCAGAACATCCCGGCGGCGCCGACTGGGATTGAACCCAGGCCTGCTGGGGTGAGAGGCAATCACGCTTACCACTACACCACCGGCGCTGCTGATTACGAAAGGTAATTTTGATATCACAGCAAAAGTATAGTAAATATTAAATTGATTTTTTAACTCATTATCAGTGAAAAAGTTCGATAGGTTGAAATTCAGAAGAAATTTGAGAGTTCTGTTTGAGGTGCTCTGTTGATGTCCATGTAGTACAAGCCAATCCTGAACGATATCTCAAGTAACATTGCAAGCTTTATAGCGATTTTATAGCATTCTACAAGCCATGGTCTACAGAACCCTCATAAAACCAACATTGTTACTTGGGATGTCTTGGATACAAGGTCTTACTTGAAGTCTTTAGTTAACTCTTTTATCAGTCATTTATGGTCCTGAAAAGGACCGATGGTTTCAGTTGTCCCACAGCTGTCTACAGCAGCAGTCGATTTTTTATTTCGGTGTGAACCACGCGATAGCCTGTTTTCGAGACTCGCTATTATATAGTTGCTCTTTGTTCGTTGCTAGCAGTTCGGTGCCTTTTGGTGCTACGGTGCAAGATGTGTGAAGTAAAAAACACCATCAAGTTTAGCTTCAGCCACCATGATGCTAAACCAAACATCGGAGAGATTGTAAATTTCGCCAAAGCACTCGACGCGGATCGAAGTGAATTGGAAGCTGTTTATCGCATTGGTGAGGAAAGGGGAGTATTCATCAAGTTCAAATCAGAGGAAGCGATGCTCCATGCTCTGACGTTCAATTCGGAGGATTTAATCTTCCATTATGCGAATGGAACGACGGCAAAGGTACGCATGTCGCATGCTGGTGAATACATTCAATATGTGCGTGTGTATGACTTGCCACCAGAGGTACCCGACAACGAGCTGAATAAAGTGCTGGGGAAATATGGAAAAATTAAACGCATCATCCGGGAGAAATTTCCATCTGATCTGTGTTTTGAGGTATATACAGGGATACGCGGTATATATATGGATGTGAAGAAGGAAATCCCCACGTCATTACATTTCTTCAATCGCAAAGGAAATATATTTTATGATGGCAACAAAGATAAATGTTTTCTGTGCAAGGCGGACGGACACCGGAAGCTTTCCTGTCCCATGCGGAAGGCTGGGAAGGAAGCGGAGAAGCAACCTAAGGAAAAAGGAAAGCAGCCAAGTGAAAGAAAACAAAACAGCAGCAGTACGTATGCTGGTGTAGTGGTGGAAGGTGCGTCGCTAGTCATTAGCGACCAGGAAACGGACACGAGGTTGGAGATGCTGAATGAAAATAACGAAATGGACGTGACGACCCCGACGACCGACGAGAGTAGCGGAGAGCATGCAACGGGAAACGACGTTCAGAAGCAGCAGCAGCGATCACGATTCGGGTTCAATGAAAATGAGGAATAAATTCGGGAAAGAAAGAAGTTGCGTGCACGGGAGAAGATCGCTTTGTCGCCGCTTCGATCGCCACCCAGAAAAATCCTATGATAAAATGCATTTTTATATATATTTTTTTTTTTTTGTATTTTGAGTACCAAAATTGGTATTTTATGTACTCGGCTCCGCTAAGTTATTTTTATAACATTTGAGCCTTCCAAATAAACGAAATGAAAAAAAAAAAAAAAAAGGACCGATGGTTTGGAAGCTTATAAGCTAGTTTAAAACAATGCTGTGGAATTTTTTCCTCGATGTTCTTGAAGATGATAGCGGTGCGGTACTCATGCTTTGCAGCTGGGTCGGTGACCAGTTTGGTGAAGGGCGATGGCATTGTAGTCCTCAATTGATGTTCTTGGAGAAGGTGGAAGCAGTGTTTATCCGTTGCATACAGATGATTGAGATTCTATCAAACTATTGAAAGAACATTTATATACTAGTGTTTTCGTCATTTTGTGACCTATTACGGTATCGGTGTGTTCAACACGGATGAGACTGGCGAGCTGTATGTTGTTTGGAACGAGGGTGACACGTTTGGCATAGATGAACCTCAGTGACTCAAGTACTACCAACCGGTGGAAACTAAAGAATTCAAATTGGCTCACTACTTGACTAGCCTATTGGTCCCAAGCAAACGATTAACGCACCCCATTCTAGTCGAAATCCTAGTACTACACTATTAGCGAATATGTTTTGAATTCAGTTCCAACCTGGATCGGGTATCAAGATTGGGTCTGCGTGTTGCCTTTCAAACGTCAGTGTTAACGTTTGTTTTTGTAAGATGGCTTGGGTTGAGGTTCGCACTGACAATAAGCTCGGGTTCGCACTATAGTCGCTATATTCATAGTCTGGCGGATAGAATGCCGGGAACCAATTGAGCTGTCAAATAGCGGAATCAATCGAGCAAATCACAGAAAAGAGCACATCAGCTATTGCGAACAAAACTTCGGAAACTCTTTTCTCGTGACTCAAGGCTCGCCTACGCAAACTAACATTATCTTTGGGTTGGGGAAGTTTCCCCTATCCGATGATGCTGGTAATTTACGTTCTATTGGCGAGGAAGAATCATCAAAGTTTTGTTTATAAAAGTTGATAGTACCTTTTCAATTGTTGGCCTACAATATATTGAATTGTTTTCGCTTTTTGATAGATCGAAATTCTATCCGCCAGACTATGAATATAGCGACTATAGTTCGCACGGGTTGGAACTGCTATATGTTTGTTTTGATTCGCTATGAAAGTTTGACAGATAAAATGAGGGGTTCGTGGATTTTCCAATGTTTCGAGGGGCGCATCGATTAGCTTGGGACCGAAGAGAGTACCAGAGCTGAGCCAAAAAGTTGAGCACGTTTCTTCGGGACCTTCAGGTCTTAGAGTTACTACTAGCGGTAGAAATAGTGATTTTAGTGACCATGCTGAATAATTAAGTAACCAAATAGTGACTTATAGTTGTAAAAATAGTGACTAAAAAGTGACCTAAGAGAAGAAAAGTAATCGTTATGATTAAAACATAAAGAAAATTTAATTCTGAGGATAGCTTCATCGAGATTTTGAGGAACATTTCAATGGAAATCTCCATTGAATATGAACCACTTGAAAGTTCTCAAATTTATCCTGAAGTTAATGAAACTGCCTTCAAGTTCTTTTGTAGTTTGAAAAACTAGCCTGATGCCCACAATACTCTTCTCATCAAATTTTGAACTTTATAGGGCTTCCTAAAGTTTCATCAATTTTTTTTAACGATCATGGATCTCCTTTAAAGGATTAAAAATTCACTGAAGTTCTCTAATCTTCTTTAAAATTTATGTGACTTCTTTAATGTTGACGGAACTGCTCTGTGGTTCTCTGTTCTTTTCTGAAATTCTCAATACTTCATAAGTGAACTTATGAACTCATGCAAAGACCTCAAATAACCTTTTAACGTCTCTGCAGTTATCTGAAAATCTGGGAACTGCTTTACATTCCCCACTAATTTTCTGAAACTAATGGAACTGACTAATGAAATTCCTCCAATTTTCGGAGTTTACTTCTTTTAAATGCTCCTGCATTTTGCTAATGTTCATAAAATTTCCTGAAGCTCGCGGATCTCTTCTTAAGCTCCATAGATGTCTATGAAGAACTGTTTCTGAAGACCACTGTCCTTCTGTGAGGTTACCGAAGTTTTTTCTAAATTTCAGGAACTTTTGTGCTCCCGAAATTTTCATGGAATTAGAACGAAATAATTAATATAGTTATTGTAGTTCTATGATTTTCACTGAAGTTCTCAAGATGTTTCTGAAGTTCATAAAACTGAACTTCATAAAAGTTCAATAGTCTAGACTTTACTGGTGTTATTAAAACTGCTAAACGATTACTGATTTTTTTTTAAAGTTCTCTATACTGCCCTGAATTTATCAGTATTTTTTAAGAACCCGCAACTTTACTGAAATTAATTAATTTGCTTTGAAGTTTCGACAATTTTCCATACTTATTATAACCATTATAAACACTCACTAATTTTCCCTGAACTTATCTACGCTTACCTGAAGTTCTCTAAATTTGTTTAATAATCCAGCAAATTTTCTGATATAGGGGAAATGCAGGTAATGTCGGCCTTAGTGTCCCTAATTTGGGCCCTTACATAAATTCAGCAATCGACTAAATTTTCAATAGCAACCAAAAATATCCATTAGAGACGTCCCAATAACGCGTGCATCTAGATAAAATTGATAAATAGCAGATTTTTAGAGATGGGCCCAATCTTAGATCCATAGGCCAACATTAGAGACATTTCCCCTATATTCATAATTCCCTGACGCTTCTGACGTTTTCGAATAATATAATTCTTGGAATACCCTATAATTCCACGGAACTCCTTGTAACTTGCTGCAAATTTGCTTAAGTTAATGGGATTATTCTGCAGCTCGTCCTCGAAGTACCCGGAACTTCGCTGAATATCATGAAACTATCTATAAATATCTAAATTTAGATCGCTGGAATTTCTTGAAGATATCGCTGCTTGCAAAAGTTCTCGTATTTTTTTATTAATGGAACTTCGTTGATGTTCTCTAATCAACTTAGCTAAATGTTGGCATTTTTTAAGTTCTTGAAATCTCCATGATATAACACCCTTAAAATACTCTCACGTTTTCCGGATGTTCATAAAATTTAAATCACGTTCCAGAAATACTCGCGAGTTTTGCTGAAGTTTCCGGAAATTCTCTGAGTTTCTAAAAACTTCTTATACTTTCTTCCTTCCTTGAAATTATTTGAACTGCCCTTTGATTCTCTGACCTGTCTTGATGTTTTCTAAACTTCCCAAAAGCTCATAGTTCTATTCAAGTTCTCGGTTCTGCTCGGAAAAAATAGAATTCCCGTAAACATCTTTAAATTTCCCAGAAATTCTCTGTACTTCTCTGAAATTCTTAAGGGTTCCCTTTTTTTTCAGCACATCATGGAACTATCTTGAATTTATCTAAATTTACGATTAAAGATCTTTAAACTGCTCCAAAAGTCTGGACGGGAAGTCGGGAACGGCTCTTTAGATCTGAAATTCGCCAAAGACCTCTAGATCAAGCTTTTCTGAGGTGCTTAGAACTTCTTAAAAAATTGCACAAAAACCCTCAAGTTTTCTATGTTTCTCAAGTTCTCTTGACACCTGTGAAGTTCTTTGAAATTCTAGGAGCTTCATAAAAGTTCCTGAAAAGTCTCGAATGCTAAAAGAACCGCTTTGAGGTTCATAAAGCTTCAGTAAGTTCCCTTATGTTCATGTAGTTTGTTTATGGAGCTTCACTGAAATTCTCAGCATTTCCTTTCATTCCTCAGAACTTCTCCAAAGTTCCTACAATTGTTATGTAGTTAATGGTACTGCATTGAAGATCTTTAATTTTTCATAAAGTTAATTACGAACTTGAAATAAATCATTTATTTTTTTACTTAATTATGGCACTTTGAAAATTTTCAATATTTTGAACTTGAACTTTCAATATTTTGAAGAAAGACGATTAAACGTCACAAAGCAAAAAATAATCAACCTTGAATAAAATTCACAATTTTTCGGTCATGTGGGCTGCAGCTCGCTGCTTGCCTGCAGCGTATCTTTGTGTACTGGATTGTTACTGCTGCTGATGATGACGACCGACCGGACACCACCACACACCGAAGAGACCGAAGGGAATTCGATTTTGAAATCTGTGTTAGGGAAAGCGCTTTTTGCATACAATCGGTGATAGTTTTGAACACCATTGCAACAGTTGGGCATTTGTGTAATTTTCAATAGTGACCTATTGATAATTAATAGCGTTAATTTTAGCAGATTTGTAGAAAAATTTCCAATCGATTAGTTTGTTTAGAATTAAAATCTATCCTCTATTGACAGAGTTATATGTGGTCAAAACCTGACCACTTTTCGTAATGCAGTCGATTTTGGTTTTTTGCACCCCCAATATCACAAACGAAGTGACAGACGACTAACTGGCAAGCAAATCAATTAAAATAATGTGGTTCGCTGTAATAGATTTTTCTTAAAAGTTTGTGCCATCATCCACCAGATGGGCTACTGTGTTACCTGACTTATAACGAATATACGTTGTATACGAGTACCCCGAATACAACGTATGACTCGTTTAATTTTGCATAGCATTTGCAATGTAAAATTAGACGAACTATACGTTGTATTCGGGGTACTCGTATGCAACGTATATTCGTTATAAGTCAGGTAACACAGTAGTCTTAGAGTTACCTCTATGGTAGTAGCAACAATCAATACGAAACTATCGACTTGACTAGCCTATTGGTCCCAAGCAAACGATTAACGTATCCCATTCTTGTCGGAATTCTAGTACTATACTATGTTTGTTTTGATTCGCTATGAAAGTTTGACAGATAAAATGAGGGGTTAGTAGATTATCCTATGTTTTGAGGGGTGAATCGATTAGCTTGGGACTGAAGATAGTACCAGAGCTGAACCAAAAAGTCGAGCACGTTTCTTCGGGACCTTCTATATCTATAATTTTAAAATATTTTAAAATTAAGTCTGCGATCTTGAAACAAGTTTAAGGTCCCCATAATTGCAAAAAGTGTCGCGATTTATTTAAAATTTTGGAGTCCAAAATACTACAAAATACGTTCGAAAACCTAGAAAACAGCCCTAATAAACAATACCATAAACGAACGATAACCCTAATGATTGAACTATTCCGGAAATGGTTTGGATGATACCTCGAACACGTCGTTAAGTAAATTAACCATAAAATTTTTATTAGGGAGTTCAAGCAACCGGTGGAAACTAACGATTTTAAATTGGCTCACTACTTGACTAAGTAGTGCCGTTTGGGTTAGCGTTATAGAACTGTAAAAAACAACTTACAAACCGATTTAGTCATCAATAATTGCTTATACTTACTGCCGTCAACGGAAGCGACATCAGGATACTTTCGTAGCGCGCCCCGGGAGTGTACAGGCCAAACTTCGTTCCACGATCGTAGATCAGGTTGAATTCAACGTAGCGTCCCCGGCGCAACAGCTGCCACTGCCGTTCGCGATCTCCGTAGGCATCGTTTTTGTGCTTCCGTACTAGTGGTAGATACGAAGGCACCACGGAATGGGCACAGGCGGAAACGAAATTAAATGCACTTTCCTGATCGGGTGTATCGAGGTCATCGAAAAAAATGCCTCCAACACCACGGCACTCGTTACGGTGGGGAATGAAGAAATACTTGTCACACCATTCCTTGAACTTGGGGTAGTAGCTTTCGTCATGCTCGTCGCATGCTTCTTTCAGAGTTTGATGGAAATGGGTAGCATCTTTCTCGTCCAGGTAGTAAGGCGTAAGATCAGTTCCTGTGAAGACAGTGTCAGACAGTAGGGAGTTTTATCGTTAGTGTTCAAGAACATACCTCCTCCAAACCACCACTGCTTATTGCCCGCAGAGTCTGTCACCTCAAAGTAGCGATAGTTGAAATGGATTGTCGGAACCATAGGATTTCTAGGGTGAATGACAGCACTGACGCCGGCCGCGAAGAAAGGCAGTTCTCCATCCGCCAACTGCTTCCCACGGGATCTCATTTGCTGAATCGCACCTTTTGGAAGAATTCCATGTACCACAGAAATGTTGACTCCTGCCTTCTCGAATATATCCCCGTCCTGAAGAACGCAAGTAATCCCACCTCCCCCTTCACTACGCTCCCAGCGGTCTACGATAAACGTCTTGCCGAAGTTCTCCTCGTTTTCTAGAGATCGACAAAAATCCGCTTGGATCTTCATGATCAATAATTCCATCTTTGTTTTCATATCGCTAGCATTAGCCACCAGGGTATCTTTCGAGGTAATCGGTTCGGCCATGAATTTGCTCACTGCTAGCTTTTTTGTCATGTGTGCATCGTTGCGGTGATAGTATGTGGCAATCGTTCCACCGGCAATTACCGTACCGACAACGCTGATAAGAGAAGCAGATATTATTTTTGTCGTTGATCGAAATGACTTCTTACTTATGACTTACCCTAAAACTCGTTTGCCTTGGCCATTAGCGATCCAAGAAGCAGAACGGAATACCCTGAAGAACATTTTTAGCTTTTAACCATTCAGACTAGTTTACTTTCAGCAATGATGTCTTGTCTTTGCGACTGGCCCGAAGTTCAAAAAAGTTAACTTTAATAATAAGTTTGTTGTGCAAACATGCAGGTACTGCTCTGCAAGCCGCGTACTAAGCCGAACGAATGAATGTGAACGTGACAGTCAGCGTTGCCAATATTTTTTTTTTTTAAACTGGAAGAATGCTAAAAAAAAACTGGAAAAACTGGATTCTAAAAATAACTAAAAAACAGCAGTATGAATCTTATCCTTTTGTAATAAATCTGAAATTAGATGTATTAATTTGAGTAAATGATGTCTCTTCCTCATACCCCCGTAAAATTTATCATTTCTTGATGAACATTTCAATAGGTCCTATCTGATTTGATCGACTTGCTCTATTGATAATAATTCAGTTGCAAGAATATTCCCAGCTGTGTTTGTCGTTTTGGGCGCTTTGAAATAACCTCATGCAAACACAAAGTATGTGGCGAAAATAACACTAAATGTGCTTGCATAGCCGTGGTTATCAAAAGAGAAACTCGATAAAGAGAATCAATCAATTCAGATAGGACAAATTGAAATTTTCATCTAGATTTCATGGAATAATGCTAATTTATTGACACTAAATGTAATTTAATTCGTCAGCAAAAACGTTATTTTCTGATTCATTGGAAACAAATCGCGCCGAAAACGTCACAGAAATCGTTTAATTGCTGGGACGGTTTTGACGCGTTTTGTCTTCAATTAAACAGACAATCTGATCGTGTAAATTCGCTGAAGTGTTCTGTTTTTATTGTTTTAACGCATACGATGGAAATTGGGGCCATATGACGAATACTGAATACTGTAAATGAGCAAATGTTGATGTACTCAGAAAAGATAAAAATTGAGGCAGTTTTGACTTGATAGCCAACAAAATGGAAAAATGAGTGTTTAGTATACTAAAGTAGCAGAAAGTTTTACTTCTTTCGTTGGCGAATCATACGTATGTAAAATGAAAACTTCTTTTGTAAACAAAAATATTTATTTGTAACAATTAAACAAAACTTAACAGTTAAAAGTCATTAATTCTCTTTGTTTTCTTTCTCCCTGCCGTCCTTTCTGGTTGCTTCATACATATTATAATTGTATTTGGCCCTCACATTCTGTTTAATATTAACAGACCCCGATTTGTCACTATTGAAACTAACGTAGTTTTTTGTAGCCAAAATACCTTTCATTGTGCTTGTACCCAGCCTGTTCCGAATTTTGGTTTTATTTATATTGTAAGTTGAAAAAACTCTTTCAACCGTGGCTGATGAATGGGGCAATATCAATAATCTGGGGATTAATTCTCGTAAATTTGGGAATGCATATGAATCATCATATGTTTTTAAAGACAAAATCTTGCCCCAGAATAATATAGCATCCTTCTCCTGACCTAAATCTTCAAAATCTATGTTCCTCAGTTCCCGGAACTCATCATCCGTATCTTGATATTTGGAAGGATGTACAATATTTGGAATGCTGCGAATCAAGGGAAGGGAATGTTTTCCATCCAGCACATTTTTTGGATCAAGAATTGACATATTGCTGATCAACGGATGATTGAAATCAAATCTTTTTAAAATCTGATGAGACAAGGTAATATAGAACCGTATAATATTTGTTCTGAACTCATTCAAATCATTGCTATTGATTTTGTTCTCTTTTACATATTCTTCAATCAAAAGTGCTGCTGCAGCTCCTACATAAACCTGATTTAAATCAACATAGTTTTTTTGATCGAACTCCACATCATTCAAATTTTGAAGCGATTTCATATAATCTGATCGAAAGTAATTATCCAAAACCGTTTTAAAAAGCCGCGTAATAGTCGAATGTAAAACATGCAATTCGGACGTTTCACTTTGAAACAGTTTGTTAATTTTGTTCACTAGATTCAAAGCATACGTTAAGAAAGTAAGATAAAGATTCGTGCAAGGATTGTTTAGTCCATCAAAAATGGTCTTAACACGGTTTTTTTCTACTTGATCCACATTCTGTACAAACCCGAAGTAAATCCTTAATGCTTCGTAGCGCTCCAACACCCGTTTCACCACGCTTTCAAGGGAAAGCCAACGAGTTGCGGACGGGTGGAGCATCTTAAGGGGCTTTAACTCCAGCAGCGTCTGTATGTCTTTAAATTTACTGTTTCGTAGTGGACTGCAACTTAGGTACGAATAAATATCCTTACAGAGTTGTTCAACTTCGTCAGGGATGTGTTTGCATGAATAAGCAGCGCACAGTGCCATACTATGACAAACACATTTAAGGATAAATAAAGAAGGACAGTCTTTATTAAGCAGTGCTCCAAGAGACTTCACTGGTCCGGTCATGTTTAACGCACCGTCCGCAGCGTAACCTAACAAGTTCTGGCGATATGGTATCCCTGCTCTTTCAAAAGAGGAAACAACTTCCTCGTACAGGGTTCGCGAGTCAGTCTCTGTCACTTCGATCACATCGTAAAAGCAATCTCGAATTTGTAGGGCGTCTTGTTTCCAAAAGAAAGTCCGTGCAACTAGAACCAATGATTTTTTTGTCGACACGTCGGTAGACTCGTCCGCAATAAGGCTAAATGGATGATGTTTCAAGTGCTCGCTCAGATCTTCTAGTTGACCCTCTCCCAGCACATTTGTAATTATAGATGTTGCTTTTGTGCGGCCTAATCGTATAGTTCTAGCGATTTCGGAATCTGGACAAATTATAGGCAAGCATGCAGCAAATGCCTTAATATCCGACGCAGATTTATTGTTTGCTGCAGCCCAAGCGCATAGTTGTAGCTCTGAGTTGCGAGCTTTGCTATTTAACTCACCGCCCGTGTAATGCTTCATGCTTTTGGATACAATTTTTACTTCCTTTGCTTTCTGTAGATGCTTTTTGCGCTCGCTATGCTTATGAAAATCAATTATTCCTGCCCAGCACTTAATATCAACGTCGCAGATAGTGCAATGACCAGCATGATTGTCCGAGGATGATGCAATCAGCCATGGAAGTTTAAATTCCCATTCCTTGGAGTATTTTTGACCAGCTTTCTTTGGATTTTTCGACGATTTCACGACAGTCACCTACGATAATTAAATAAATGGCTTGTTATAAAATAAAGTAAAAATTGCAGGATTATTTTACCAGTTCTGACTCATCGTTGCAGTCGCTATCATCAGCGCTAATATAATCGACCGTCTCCTTTTGATCGTGCTGAAAATCCTTTGTGATATCTATCGAAATTTTGTTAACTGATTGATTCGTCAGTAACGCCTCAGTTCTAGTTAGCGATCGAGAGCAACCAGCTATATTTTTAAAGTCATCACGAGACCTGAATGCATCCTGAGAACCATTTTCATCCCCTATTAAAAAGTGCGCAAACATTAGCTGTTGAATTATTTGACCAAAAAATGTTAAGTATACCATTTCTGCTGGTACCGTTATTTAGTTCGTCGAATTTCCATGCACAACCCTCTTCTGTGAACTGTGAAGGCTGGTCAGTTGATTGTTTCTCTGGTAGAAAATTGCTTGGGTGTTGATTACCAGTGGTTGGAACCCTTCGAGAAAATCCAGAGTGTTTTTCATCGTCATCATGTTGTCGAGATGTTATGTCATTATTACGAGACTCATTATTAGCTTCTTCAGCTTTTTTCACATCATCATCACGTTCACGAGAGCTTGTATGGTTGTCCTGAGACTCGGCTCCTAAAAATATAATAAACACGCAAAAATGATTAGAAATCGATGCTTTTTGAACAGGCATTTTCTTTTTTGAAGAATGACTACAAATGCGGAGTTAATGAGAACTAAGCCAGGCAGAGCACAAGATAGACTAAGAGCTCTTTTACCAGCTGATGTTCTAATTCATAATAATTGCAGTTGCAATTATTGTTTGCAAAGAGCAAATTGCCTATCATCATATTACTACTCAATTATGCATTAGGGAAAGCTGATAACATACCGAAGATTTTGAAGTATTTAAGTAAATTTCCTGCATTCGGAACTGCTTTTCGTTTCGGCATTTTTCACAAAATACCGCCAAATTTGACAAACAGGATAGGTTCACAAAAAGCCAATGTAGACGTCCTTGAAAATGAAATTCGTGGAATTCACATTCAGTACTGAAATGATTATAAAAAGAGATTAATGATATAATGGACATTTTTTGTAGCCTAAATCAACAACAATGGTGACAAAGGAGGGAAATATTCAAAACATGGGTTGGCTTAAAAAAAGGCCAGACATGAATCGGATCGTTAAAGCGGGATTAGTTTGAATCAAATATTTTTATAAACTCGTATTGCACAACACCATTGCATAAATTCATAAGTTATTTGACTCAAAAATTGGAAAATGATACATTACTTCAGTTATGTTCGGATTTACTTCGGCAAATGCCGGAAACATTCCAACACTCCAGAAATTACGATTCATCGGAATGCAAAACCACTTAAACAAGCACGGATTCAGAAGAAACATATTGATAAACCTTAGATAAATCACTTCAAAATGCTTTGGAATAACTGTCGAATCGCTTAATAAATATCAGAAAATCGACACATCAAATGCAAATAGAGAATGGCACCTTGCATAGAGCTTTTTGACGTTTAATCGGCGCACACTACTGCACCATTTAAATCGAACGAGTGCGAGCAAGAGGGAAACAGATTAGTGGGAAAACAAACCGCCGATTCATCCATGCGTGCTAGATAGAGAAAGACGATTTAACGTCAAAAAGGTCTATAGCACAGCATAAGCCACCGAACAAAGAAAAACCTCGAGAAAAACTGCATCTCTTTCTATGCAAAACGCGGGTCACATGACAAAAAGAGATAGCCATACAGCCACCATCTTCACCACTCACTGTCATTATCAAGATAAATAATATTATATTATATTATAATATTATATTATATTATTATATTATATAATATTATAAGCGAAGGGAAGTTAAGGAGGCTTAGAGGGGATAGGAATCATGCTTTTGCATTCTAAAAGGAAATACATCAATCAATGGGTAAAACAACCAGTTCTATACACGGGGCTATGTAAAAACTGGATAAAACTGGACAATAATTGAAAAAACTGGAAGATTTTAAGATTTAACTGTTTGACTGGATGTTGTAAAAAAAACTGGAAGAATCCAGTTTAAACTGGAATATTGACATCACTGGTGACAGTAGGCATGCCTTCGCGAATCTGACTGGATTAAACTTTTGAGAATGGGAGTAGTTGTATACTTTGAAACGAGCTTTTACGCTACGACTGTATATATGTATTGGCTGGTATATAATCTGCCAGCTGATCTGCCCAACTCCGGGATACGCCCCTTGCGATTCAATGCCGAATCAAAACGTCAAAATTTGAAGTGCGCTGTGTCTCTGTCACTTTCTTTGGGATAAAAATATTTTTATGCTCACTTCACAGTAGTTCATGCACGGAGCATTACACGCCAGTTTTCGATAAAAGATAATAAATTCAATATACCTACGCCTATTTTGTGGTGTGGATTTAACCAGTTTCATTTCGAACTAATCAGGTACTGTATTGTTCAAAACGAAGCTTATCGTGCTGTATCATCGATAGTGTTGAGGACTTATCGAAAATTGTTATCAATACGTGCGTTTAGCTCCAATCTGCAAAAATTGTGTTTTGAAGTGCTCCGTTCCTAATCAAACTACTACAATGTTTCTCGTTGCTTTGACCGGAGGAATTGCCACAGGAAAAAGTACTGTGTCGAAGGTTTTCCGAGAGAATGGAGTTCCTGTCATCGACGCGGATGCAATTGCAAGGCTTGGTAAGTAGTGTTGTTGTAGTATCAAACATGTTGATGCCTTCGGTATCAAAAAAAAAAAACGAGCATTGTTCATCGTTTTGATGATCTCTTCACGCACTGATTACATTTCGGGAAGCCAATTTAAATTGCTAATGAAGTGCCATCAATTGCGTGGGGCTAGTGCTTTATTCGCTTCAAGCTATTATAGTGTCTCCGAGTATTCGTACCGAATAAGCGTTAAGTTTTGTTGCATAACAATTTTTCAATCGCATGAACGACATGTATCTTTGTTTCAGTGGTCGAACCGGGAAAGCCGGCGTGGCACAAGATCAAGGCTGCATTTGGGGACGGTGTCTTTCATCCAGACAGCGGTGAGCTGAACCGTGATGCGTTGGGAAAACTCATCTTCGATAGCGTGGAGAAGCGGAGGATACTGAATGAAATCACTCATCCCGCAATTCATAGGATCATTTACAAGGAAGTTGTTAAATTTTTCTTCCTTGGGCATAACTTTATTGTGCTCGATCTACCTCTGCTGTTCGAGACTGGTGTGATGCTGAATATAATGCATAAAATCATAACCGTTACATGGTGAGTATGGTCATTCAAGCATGCACATAGCCTATAGTCTATACAAAGAACCCACTAATGGCTGTTGTTTTCAATCGGGAATATGTTTTCAAAAGTCGCCCCAGCTGGGTAGATATTCTGTCAAGTTCGATAAATATGAAAATTTTATATAAAGCTTATGGTTTACCAGTTCCATACGCGCTTTTGTCAATTTTGAGTTAACAAATCTATTGGCCATTTTTTGTAATGTTGGACATTAAATATACATTGTGTCAGTCTGATCCATTCTGCAAAATAACCGCAATCAGTAAAAGAAATTTATAGGGTTTGATTCGCTATGAAAGTTTGACAGATAAAATGAGGGGTTAGTGGATTTTCCTATGTTTCGATGGGTGAATCGATTAGTCTTAGAGTTACCTCTATGGTAGTAGCATTTATAAATGTTTTATAGGGTTTCGTAAAAGATGTATTTAGAAAAAAAAAACTTTAATGAGATTGAAGAGATCTATTACTTCTGTTACCTTTAAAATTTGCGGGCGAAGAAAGGTGTTCAATATTTCAGATTTATAAAACTGAGTCAAGGACCTGCCTAGAAGTCAAGGGCAATTCGTAAAAGTTAAGAGAACATTCTAATAAAAAAAAGCGTTTTAGAATTCCAAGGAACTTTGAAGATCTTCAAAAAACATCGTAGAGCTTTCGAAAGCTGGTAACATGTATTGAACTAAGTAGCAGTTGTGGAAACATTCTAAAAGTGCAGCATATTTCATAGAAGTTCTGCTAACTTTTTAAAAGCTCAACCAACTTTGTAGAATCTCAATGAATTTCATAGAACTTCAGAGAGTTTTGTAGCAGTTTGTATAACTTCTCAAACATTATTAAAAATGAGGAGATTTCTGGAAAAACTTAGCGAATTCAGTTGAAATTTGGAAACTTCGTTGAAGTTAAGGATTTTTTTTTAATTTCATTATACTTTTTAAAACTTCAGGGATTTTGTAGATCTTCAAGAAATTTAATATAAATTCGGGAAATTTCGTAGAGCTCCAGGTAACTTTGAAGAAATTCAATAAGTTTGGGGAACTGCGTTGAAGCTAAGGCAACTTTCTTTAATTTTACGAAACTTTATAAATGTTACTCTTTCAGCTTCAGGGCTTCATCCTTAATAGACTTAAAAAATTAGGTAATTCGATAGAAATTTAGGCAACTTTGTAAAACTTCAGGGAACTTCTTAGGAAATCAACTAAATTCTTGTTCATGGAACTTTGTATAAGTGGACTGAACTTCATAGGAATTCGCATAACTTTGTAGGAATCAAACGAATTACGTTGCAACTCGACGCTCCGTAAAACTTCATAGAAGTACTGGGATTGTTTTTAGAAGCACAAGGAACTTCATAAAAGTTCATCAAAAATTGTAGAAGCTCAGCGAAGTTCGTAGAAGCTCAGGGAGTATTGTAAAAGTTCAGCATAGAATAAGTTAAGGGTTTGATTTGGGCACTTACTGGAAGTTTTGGAAAAAAAGGATTCGCTCAGATGTTAGAAAAATTCATAAAAAGGTTCATGGTGTCCTTGGAAAAACAATGCAACTTGGAAGACGTTAATGGAACTTTGTAGAACTTGGAAAAAATAGTATATATAGTAAAGATAAAGGAACTTTGTAGATATCCAAGGAACATTAAGGCAATTTCCTTTCCATCTGCTGAGTACGGTGTTGTATGGGTCTACACTGCAGAAAACGCGAAGTTTCAGTTTCTTTGTTGTATATTTTATGGGAGCTGATATTTGTGCTCTTGAAATTTCGAGGTGAGAGTAAGATCAATTATAAATAAGGTTTCCACAGCGATTCATCTTAATAAAACATATAAATTCTAACACTGGTTTGAGAATCAATTTCCGGATGTTCTGAGTAGATGATGGTTCGGAATATGCACCCTATCCGAGTCAAGCAAATGTAAACAAAAGCACACAATAAGACCGTCAATTCTCGAAATTTGGTTCATGTTACGTTTTGGCCATATCTCCGTAGACGCCCGAAACAACGATAAGCAGTAAAAGATTACACTAGTTTCAATAAATACAATAATTACTTAACTCTTAATTTTGCCAAATGACTTTTGGACAACCGATTTGATTTACAATCAATTTATTACTTCACAGTGAGGAAGATATCCAACTAACGAGACTCATGGATCGGAACCATTTATCGGAAGCTGATGCTAAAAAGCGTATCAAGCAGCAAATGCCATTGGAGCAGAAATGTAGCCAGTCTCATTTCGTTGTAGAAAACTCAGGTACGTTTAAAGCATACATAATGACATTTTTACATCGAAACACAATTGAATTTTGTTTACAGGGACACTTCAGGACACTGAGGAACAAGCCATGAAAATATTTAACATCCTTCAGGACAGCAATCAGCATTGGAAGATTCGGGGTGTCATATTTGCTACGGCTGCAATCCTATTTTCCAGTATAGCGTGGATCTTAAACTATAAGTATAAATTCATTTCTAGCAATTAATATTCGAGGATCATATTGGGTTTGGGAGTTTATTTAAGTGCGGTCGAAAAGTGGTATCAACAGACATTTTAGATCTAGTAGAGCTTATAATTCCCTACGTTAACAATTATTTTCAACCTTTCTGATGCTTTCAGAGGGGAGTTTCTAGTGTCATGTGCATTTTATTTACTTCAGTGTGTACAGTGGAATTCTTTACGAACGGAAAACAATCTAACTGTGGAATCATGTAGCATCTGCGTTCTAACGTTTCTATTAATGTCCGAAATCCCTGGCTTCTCACGCGTTCAATTTTTGAATCGGAGGTTTCTCTTCTATTAGGTAATCCTCAGATAAACATGAGCCTTTCTAATACAGTGTAGGGGAATGAATAAAAACATTATTGAAGCATAATTTTGTCTATTTTGTTATCAGCCCTGACATTGATGTTCGATTTTTTCAATTAATCGATTATTTTTGCCTTCCCAATAATCGATACGATTAATCGATTATTTAGCTCAACCAACAAATCAAAACTAATGATTTTATTTTAACTGAATATGTATTCAAAATATTGATGGTTCTCAAATCATGGATTATTTTGGGTGAAATCATAAGATGATAATGCTAGTCGTCTACCACTCATTGTAGCACGGAAACTAGTCCGATAGCTAGTCCGATTAAGCTTAATAACCTCTAACTGTCATCAGCAAATCGCTGTATGAAGGGCTAAAAACGAATGGATAGGCAATTCGTCTATTAATTTCCTTGAGACAGTTAAGAATCTCCGTCAGACAACATTTTTTTTTCCTTGATTTGTTTTCCGTCGATCTTGTTTTGCGTGCTGAGCACCAATGCTACCGACGCCAGGGAGGCAGCTCCCACACCTCGACCCTACCTATCGACCCATCAACTCATGAACCGGTGACCAACGGCTTTACTTCCCTTCCGAAGGAATGCCTGATCAGAGATGTTATGCCTCAGAATATCCCGGCTCATAGAATAAGGAACACAAAATGGGAGACAAGCCCGAGGAAGACCTCCGAAACTTTGTTATGGAAAGGATCATCTTAGTAAAACCACAGATAAATGAAAAATATGCATTCATTGCAGCATGCTTGGTATGCACAGTTGTGCACACCAACTGCTGATTTGTTAATAACTTTTCACTCAGTTGTTGAGATTTGTTTTTCTTGAAAATAATTGAAAATATTCAAAGAGTAGGTCAATCTTAACATTTTAATCAACACCAATGAATTTTTACACTTAAAGTCCGAGATGTGCAGCGAGCATTTCTCACTTCATTTTAATGCAAATGCAAAAATGCAAAAACAAATACAGTTTATAACTAGAATTAAAATCTGCTTTATTTTTAAGTATCTATAACAAGCTTAAACTTTATTCTATCTACTACTTCAAAAAGAACTATGTTTCGTCAACTGTGTGCAAAGTAATTAGCAAATGAGAAGTTCGTGACCAAAACTGTGTATGCCAAGCATGCATTGCAGAACCAGCAAGGATAAGAAATTTAAAACTGACACTATGTGTATCCCGTCCGGAGTCTCTTTGTTCAAGAAATGTTTTTATGATTATCACAATTATCCGCTTATGAACACAAATATATATTTTGGAACACTAACTGAATTTTAATGGAAAGATTGTTCAATTTGTTTGTATGTGCTTGCTTGATCGATAATAAGGACACTACCACAGATCTGAGCTTGGTTTGAAGAACCAGAGAATTTAGAATACCTAATATCCATCAGAGTTTATCGTAGCGGCGCCAGTGATGTAGTGGTAAGCGTGATTGCCTCTCACCCAAAGGGCTTGGGTTTGATCCCAGATTCTGAGGCATAAAATCTCTGATCACGGGAAGTAAAGTCGTTGGTCCCCGGTCCATGAGTAAGATGGGTCAGTAGGTAGGGTCCAGGTGTGGCGTCGGTAGCATTGGTAGTCATTACGGAAAACAAGATCGACGAAAAAACAAATCATGGAAAAAAACGCATAGTAAAATACTATTAGGAAGGGAACCAAAATTTCACATTTTAATAGTAAATCTCAAATAAACTTTAAAAGCAAATGAGGAAAATGATCTGAAATTTGGGAAAATTTGGACAAAGAAGTTTGCACATCTTGGGCAACTCAAAATGGATTGTTAATCATGTACATACACTCCTTAAATTTTCCTGGACATGTTCCCTTTTTAAGGACATTGTATTAGAAAATCATTTGATCTGAAATCCAGGACAATTTGGAGAACCTAGAACATCTTATGCACATGCAAATGAAACTATGATGGAATTTAATTGTTCAACAATTCAGCGAATTGTTTGGATATATTTAAATGCTAAGGGCATTGTATCAGTCGCTGTTGATCTGGTAAATTATTTTAAATGAACTCCTAAACTTGAAGAACCTTAAGCATATTATATACAGTGTATCTCAAAATTGATCGTATAGTTGTATTTAAATTTTAGAAAAACGGCTCTAAAAGCACAAGTCTTTGAATTTTTGGCAGCTGACTCAGCATATGTTTATCAATTATTAGCTCAGTATTGGGCATATTTGGTTGAGATTACAAAAAGATAGAGCAATTTAAGAAAAACGCCTTTTACTTGAAAAAACTTTATTTTCTTGAAATAAAATGATCATATCTTCATTTGCTAATAATTTTTTCACAATGTTTCAAAAAATCCATACAAGTTGATTCGTTGTAGGATTTCAGGACAATCAACTCGACCCAGCAAGACATCAGAAACAAGCATAGCCTTAGCAAAGTCTCTTCGTGTACTAAGTGTATCCAGACGAATTAGCTGACATCGGTGCTCGTAGTTTGGGAGACGAAATGGATCCCGCCATGGTAGTCGACGAAGTGCGAATCGAACAAACCGCCGTTGCACTGATTTTAATCTCTCAATTCCATTTTGGTAGTGGGCTCCAAACAGTCGAACAGTACTCCAATGTCGACCGAACTAATGCACAGTAGAGCGCCTTTAGACAGTAAATGTCCGTGAACTCTTTTGTTAACCGGAAGATAAAGCCTAGAGATTTTGAAGCTTTATTCACTATGAACGACACGTGCTGCTTGAAGGTCAACTGGGAGTCGAGGATAATTCCCAAGTCCTTGATTTCGTTCACTCTTACCAGTGGTACTCCAGAAAATGAATGATCGTGGAGTTTTGGATCTATCAGTCGAGAAAACGTAATAACTGAGCATTTTGCAGGACTTACGGTCATGCGGTTCATCTGGCACCAATGAGCGAATGCATCAAGTTGTTGTTGTAGAAACTGAGCGTCAGCCTCAGAACGTTTGTGCTCGTTCAAGCATACTGTCGGTTACGTAAGAAGTGAGACATAAAAGTTTTGACGCGGTTGAACGACCAGGAATGAAAACATGCTGGTCGGGGCTTAACAATTGCTTGCAATGAAAGAATAATTGGTCCATCACAACAAGCTCAAAGAGTTTGGAAACAGCTCATAACGAGGATGTTCCGCGATAATTATCAACATTCTTCCTATCGCCGTTTTTGTGTACAGGGAACATTTATGCACGTTTCCAGCAGGACGGAAACACTCCGGATGAAAGCGACAAGCTGAAGGTCACTTGAAATGGCTCGAGCAAGCTGTCAATGAAGTTCTTCAAAAACACCGACGGAATTCCATTGGGACCTAAGCACGTTGACAGTTTTAGTTAACGTGCAGCTGCCATAATCGCATCATTGTTGACAGTGACTTCAGGCATAGCTAGCCCTGTGTGTTACTAGATGCTGATGATATTTGTCTATCGGATAGCAATTCGTTGGTGAAAATCCTAGCAAACTTCGAGGCAAACATGTCACATATGGCTTGTGGTTCAGAGGCTACGGTCCCATTCCACTTCATTGAAGAAGGCAGGTCACACTCGTTACGTTGCTGTTTGACATAGTCCCAGAAAGATTGTGGGTGGGATTTGAGTCGTCGTCGAATATAACATCTCTTGCTAACGCGTTTATAGATTATGTTCAGCTTCACGTAGTGGTCACGCAGCGATACACTCTTGTTTTTCGAAAATCTTCTTAGGACGGCTCTCTTTTGTCTTTTCAGCATTCGGAGTTCGGGAGTGAGCTGGGGTAGCTGGGAGGTAGCTGGGGTAACTTCTTGGGAACATGTCGGTCGATCGCATATGAAAGAATATGACAGAATGTCTGTGCAGCTATGTTCACATTGGTTCCGTCAAGAATGTTCTCCCAGTCTAGCGTCTCAAGAAGAAGAATGATGCTGTGATAGTCTGCATTCCTGAAATCGTAAATGACAGGAGATGGATTGACAGTGTCTTCCTTTACATTTATTTTCTCGATATTGAGATGCAACGGTGGATGATGAGGTACGAACTTCACCACCGGCGCTGGGGCCAACGTTATCGATGGGGCATTGTCACAGGAGCTAGCAAAACATAAATCAAGGCTTCTGTTGTTCTCGTTTACAGCATGATTAATCTGCTGGAGTGTAGCAGTGCTGTAACGATCACTATACAATACATCTTAAAACTATAGTCAAAAGGTACAACACAATAAACATTTTATCTTCCGCTATCCAATAAGCCTCCTCCACCAGAACGGGAGCCGCTTCCAGTGGTTTCATTGTATGGCAGATTCTCCAACGGAGGTCAGAGCGCTTCCATTGCAGCAATGGACGCAAAACGTGGTCAGCACTTACACATTCATCACGAAACGGTTGCTTTCCAAAGTCGACGACGCATCGACTGAAATAACAGCTGATGAAGAACAATGAGGAGGACCACACAATGGTTGCTGTCGAGTAAACAGACGATCGCGTGACACACATTGAGAGTGGTCTGCTTCTGTTGATAGCTGAGAGAACACTGGCTCTACATTTTATAACTACACTATTTTTTTAGTTCGATTATCTAAGCCTCTTAAAAGATCTTAATCATAATGTCTTAATGTATTAATTATAAATTATCAAATATTTGTATTAAATTCCCCATCTTTAAACTTATTTTCTGTTATTACTAGGGTAGGTGTTCCAAAAATAGTGGTGTGGACTTCATACCGCAATAATGGTGGAGAATCAGACAAATTTATTTTTCATCGGAACTCTCCTAAACTAAAGTAGATTTGCATACACTGGAGTCGCTTTTTACGCGGGTGATACGTGCCGCGTAAAAAAAACCGCGTAAATTCCAGAATCCGCGTAAAAAGCGACTCCAGTGTATAACGATAAACCGTGTAAATTCTGAAGACCGCGTTAAAAAAATCCGAAATCCGCGTAAAAAAAATCGCGTAAATTCCAAAATCCACGTAAAAGTGGACGGAATTAATATGAAGAGCATTCAGTTCTTTTAATTGATCGATCATCTGTTATCTTGACTCTTTCCGTTTTTGAATTGTAGGCGTACCAAATTTGTAATATTTTTTTTCAAAGAGAAAGTTGATGAAGAGAATCGATCAAAATCACTTGTACCCCTGCTTCCAAGTTTTGTTACAAGATTACAACTCTGGAGAGCATTTTGTGTGGTCGTTGGGGGCGTGTGGCTCTAAATATGAACAAACAGGCACTGATAAACTATATTCCAACTCTTTACTGTAATAAGCTTGTTGACCCTCGATCTCTCAATGTGTTTTCCGTCGATCTTGTTTTCCGTATTGAGTACCAATGCTACCGACGTCAGGGAGGCAGCTCCCACCCTGAACCCTGGCTAACCAACTCATGGACCGAGGGCCAACGGCTTTACTTCCCTTCCGAAGGAAGGCGTGACCAGCGATTTTATTCATCAGAAAATCCCGACGGCGCCGACTAGGATTGAACCCGAGCCCATTGGGGTGAGAGAGGCAATCACGCTTACCACTACACCACCTCCGGGGTTTTTTAAATCTTTATTTGAGAGATTTTTAGCCGATGGCTAGTTCATCTCTACACTTTCCAGGAACACCTTCAGCACATTTCGTGTTTTCTCGTAGATCAGACTTGAGATACGTTTGACACCGCTACCGCGGAACCAGACGACGGATGGCGGTTATCACGAAGAATCTTGCGATGACACTTGGCGCCTTCTGTACCAAGACCTTTTTTTCCTTTGCCACGACCAGTCATTGCTGCTTGTTAGGTAGAAGAGTGGACTACCTAACCTGTCACCACCTTTATAGTGCTGCTAATGCTGCTTCTGCTGCCTGGTCACCACGCCGTCCAAAGCGAAAATGAGTTGACGCTAGACAGTAGGGTTTTTTTTTATATCTTTTCAGGTTAAAGCAGAATGATGTGCAACCAAATGGTACTCGATTATGACGACTGGGTTTGGGAAGAACGTTTATTTCATGAAAACAGTGATAACTTTATCACGTTTTATTTGTACATTGGACAAGTCTTGACATTATCACTTTTTCAATAAATTCTTGTTGAAAATCATCAGTCAGAAACATTGCTATTGATGCGTCGAAATATTTCTGATCGATTGGTGATAAAATTATTGAAATTGGTCCAGGGGCAACTGAGTTCTTAATGTTCAAAATCTTTCATAATTTTGTTACATGTTCCATTTTCGGTTTTTAAAAGTGTACCCCCATATAGAAATTACAGACGTAGTCCTACGTCAAAAAAAAAAACCACGTAAAAAACGACTCCAGTGTATTTCATACTTTAAATTAGCCTAAATAATAGTGGAATCCATTAAAAACCAATGCGTTCCACTATTATAAAAACCAAAGTTAGCAACTAAAGGGTGTCCACGATGAAATTGCCACACTGTGAAATTGCTCTAACTTTTGAACCGTTGGGTAGAATTTAATGAAAATTTGGGTGGATTTAGTTCATAGTGCATTAATTACATCCTGCAAGCTTTAAAGTCCTGTGATCAAATTCGCGGAAATGGAGTCGAAAGAACAGCTCGTGCGTGATAAAATCTTGCGCATTCATCACGAGAACAAGGATCTCTCGCATCGTTCCATCGCTAAAACGTTGGGAATCGCGAATTCCACGGTGTCGCGAGTGATTAAGCGGTTCGAGGAACGGTTGACCACCGATCGGAAGCCCAGAAGTGAAGGAAAAAGTATTCCGTACAACACCAAAAATCACAACCGCGTAGTTGGGGCCTTCAACCGAAATCCGAACGCCTCCGTTAGGGATGTGGCTAAGAAGCTGCACCTAAGCCGAAGTTTTGTCCAGAAGGCCAAAACTAAGGCTGGGCTTCGAACGTTCAAGGTACAAAAGGCCCCTAATCGCGACGAGAAGCAGAACAAGTCCGCCAAAACCCGTGCCAGGAAGTTGTACCTCAACATGCTGACGAAAGTTGAATGCTGCATCATGGACGACGAAACATATGTGAAGGCCGACTTCAAACAGATCCCCGGCAACCTGTTTTTCACGGCCAAGGATAAGTTCAGCGTTCCGGAACATGTCCGCACTCAGAAGATGTCCAAATTTGCGAAGAAATTCCTGGTTTGGTAAGCCATCTGCACGTGCGGGAAGCGGAGTGCACCTTTCGTGACCCAGGACACGATGAACGGACAGGTGTACATAAAAGAGTGCCTCCAGAAGCGGATGCTTCCTCTCCTGAAGGCCCACAACGTTCCAACAATCTTCTGGCCGGATTTGGCCTCATGCCACTACTCCAAGGACGTGCTGAAGTGGTATGCGGACAATAAGGTCAATTTCGTGCCGAAAATGTTCAACCCTCCCAACACTCCGGAGCTCCGCCCCATCGAGAAGTACTGGGCGATTATGAAGCAGCACCTTCTTAAACGACCTAAGGTAGTGAAGACAGTCGAGGAACTGAAGAAAGTATGGGTTTACATGCAAAAAACGGTTGATTCACAGGTTGTGCAGAATCTTATGGCCGGGGTTAAGGCCAAGGTGCGGGCATTTGCGTATGGACTGTAAATAAAATACGAGTAAAATGGTAAAATGAAGTTTAATAGTTATTTCTCAATCCCTGAAAATTTGATGGCAATCGGATGAAAACTCGAGTTTTGCGAATCAATTTTGTGTGTGGCAATTTCATCGTGGACACCCTTTACTACAACTACTGTGTTAATATGTTCCTATTAATGAAGGACAAGTTTTAGAATAATGTATACAGTTTGATCACAATATTTCTAGAGGTTGAAAGTTGTAGTTTGACGTATATAAATTGTACTTATTTCCTCCACTCTTGGCTCATCCACCCTATCATAAATTGATTATTGATAGAGGCTTATCGGAGTACTAACAACTAAGCACGACCTTATACCCCTGGCCAACAGGATGAAGACAATAAAGAGGTTATAATATCCTGAATAGAATTTCATGGTTTTCACACATTAAATGAAGATATAGATTATTTTTTTTCAATCTGCATTCAATATTTTGAATAGTAGTCGGAGTTGGAGTCGGCATAATTTCACCGACTCCTACTCCGACTCACTAGTTCGTAAGACTTCCTCCAACATCGACTCCAACTCCACTGATTGAAACTTTAGTTGAAAATTGATGAAACCGTTAGCCACGTGAAGTCCTTCGATGAAATGACGCACTCAGCTAATTTGTTGGCAACGAAATATCCTTCAGTTTAATTAGCTGAGTAATATATTTTTTTTTAATGAGTTAAGCATATATCGCGAGCTACACTGTACTTTCTCTAGAAATTGCAGTTGACGATCGCGGTTCAAGAATATCAATTCCAGTTTGGCGTGAAGATCAGGAAAGAAAACTGAAAGACAAAACAGATGAAACCGCTTACTCGCGCATAGTTGTATGGGTAATTCTTCCAGAAGCTTTGTTCAGCACACAACATCGCTCGTGCCTTGTATTTTATGAAAATGTATTATTATTATTTTATATGTTGAACAAAACTACAGCTATACAAACCTGGCACGCAGGCAAAATGTTATAAATACAACTGCGGGCCGGAACGGCGCATCAGTCTCAGCTTAAACCTCTTCGTATTGAGATCGTTGGAAACCGAACCGGTCTACTATTCGGAAGCTCGTGGACGGTCATTTATCTCTCGTTTGAACCGTGCTCGACAGTGTGGAAGTGAAGTGATTAGTACTTTAGAGTGAAACCAGTGTGAAAAGTGGTCGTGCATAGAGGAGTGAAATTTCTAAGAAGTGAAATTCGCCTACCGATCGAGAGGATGAAAAGCTTTCCTCTTACCTCGCTAGTGCTTTTAGTATCGATACTCGCCTCTTCGAGATGTTTCGAGTAATTAATTCGCTTTTAAATATAGATACATACGAACGGTTTCGCTCATTTCATGCAGTTTGACTCACACTAATCATCATCAACCGATCATATCTTAACCGCCTGCAGTAATCGACAATCGGATTGGATAATAAATAATTGCTGGACGCAACGGTGCAACTATCTCCCCAGTGCGCGACATGACAATAGTGCAGGGCGCTCTGCTGCACGATTATTGCTAATTAGAGATCGACAAGTGTGAAATGCAAATGTGACCGACCGTTCGTTGAACGGACACGTGGGGGGGAAAATTGCAATTGAATGGGCCCTCGAACAGCACTAAAAGTGTATTGCACCGATTTTCGTCGCCATCGATCTCAAGCACCTCGCTAAAACTGGGATCGTTTGGTTGATAATTGCCTTGCAATTTGTATCATAGGTAGAACACAATAATTGAACCGCTTCTCACGATCGTTTCCTCCAAATCTTACCAAATTATGCAAGGCCGTTGTCTGTGAAGTTCTTGTGAAAATTGCTCTGCTCGACTCAATATATAGTCCAGTAATGATCGATGAACATTTTAAGGGCATAGTTGATCTTTGATACATGAACCCCCCATGGACTCTTTGGGATTTATTCAAACGGTATAGACTATATTTGTATATAGAAAGACATGGTAGTTTGGTTTCAGTTGATAGTACAAATGATGCATCATGCGTCGTTGTAAATCCTTCACCATGCGTTCTTTTAGTAATGAAACATATGCACCAGAATATGAAATATGTTCTATGGTGTAATTAAGATGTACTGTTTACGAATTTTGGGTGCATCCATTGTGATGTTTTTAACTGGAAGCAAGTTATCAAACAGGTTTCTAAACCAGACACAGTGACTGTATCATTTCAAAGGTTAAATTTTTGAGTTTCAGCATACAATGACATTAAGTTAGGTAGATTTTGAAGAAATATTCATCGATTTATTGACCTCTTTGCTCTTTGGTTGAGTGGAAGGTGTACCTATAATCAACAGCAGTATTATTCATCCAATTAGGGGCGATACACCCGTACTCTAATATTTAGGGGAAACTAAAAAGGCTTTTTTCGAGTAAGTGTCTAGACTGAAGATAATGTTATGATGACTTTTTCGTCCGTTTGTTGATCGTTTATATTTTTGAGAGCAGTTATTATGTTCTTGCTCCCTAAGATATATCAACTTTTCACAGCTCATAACTTTAAATAAGTATAATCGATTATAATTATTGAATCGGTTTGTGCATTACAGTAATGACCCAATTTTGTCAGCCTTCTTTTTGATTTTTTTTCTAATAATGTACGAAAGCCGTAATGTTTCAGTGATCTTATTGTACCTTATTCCATGCGAAATATTTGGAATTACGGTAATGTGAAATTATTGAAACGTAAACCTTGCCTTTAACCTAGTTATATAGTACATTTTACGTGTATCAATATAAAGTGTGGCTGAGAAGTCAAACCGCTTATCCTTTAATCACATAAGCTCTAAATTACACTTTAAGTGGATTTACTAAAAACTAAACCTTGATAATGAGACATCATTACTACTGTTAAACAGCTTGACATCAGAGGTACGCCTGAACTTAAATTCGTTTTAATATGGAATTGTCAAGGCATTTAAAATTAATGGGTTTTGGAGGTATGATTTAATAATAAGCGCAATATCAGCCCAGCTCTGGTGTCAACAAAACCATTCTAGCAGCTTTCATAAGCCATGTATTTCATGTATGATTTCTGTGGCTATTATAGATATCTTCAAGAGAAGATTGCTTCCCAATTCGATGGGAGATTTACAACAAACATATCCAGTGAATCGATCATTGCATATAGGACCTATTGAAATGTTCATTTAGAAATATGATTCTGTTTCTACTTGAGATCGAGGCATACATTTATACGAACAGTGAAATCAAAAATTCAAACCATTCACGCTTCAACTGCTTACGTTCAATCAGAGATCGTTGTTGCAAATTGTCAACACCGCATTGTCGCACAGCAGCAACGTTTATTATCCAATTCCGAAATTGCCCTTCTCTCGTTGTTGAGTTGTGGGTCATTATGCTATTTAATTTTATCAAACGCTTCTGCTTACCAATAAAAAAATAATCTACTGACACCCTTGGACCGAACTCGCTGGACAAATCTCATGAAATGAATCATGCGCCTGAACTGGTTCTCCTTTCGATTCCGGAACTTTCTGTGAAATGATATTAAACACCTCTGCATATCTAAACTAACCGCTCGCAAAAACCCACCAAACAAAACAAAAATCCCCTAACACCAGCTTTCTCGACGGGGACCCATTTAGACGAACGCATTTTGACGATGATTTTGCGAATTGGCGAAAAGAAAAGCTTAAATCATGGGATCCATTCATCAGAGGAGAAGGAAGTGCATTCGGATTTGTATGGCCGTTTAGTAACGTTCACGATGAACCGATTTCCAGGGAAGCGACGGACTTTCAGTACGATCAGCAGGAAGCCGATAATAACCAGTCTGGGCTGCGTGTTGTTGGACTAGAACGGGATCGGGAGTCGCTTGGTAAGTGTTGTTTGTTCATTCTAGTATTTTGAAGTGTCTTGCATTGGAACAAGTTAGGGGACATACGAGCTTTTTAATTGATAATTAGAAGCAGAGAAGATAAGTATTACAGAGGTCGAAAATTCGGTTATTTCATGAAGTTTATTTCCAGATTTGTTTTGAAACAATTTGGAAACTTATTATTGTTTATCAGAAGATATTTCAGACATATTTGATGTATGAAAATAAATTGATACAATTAAATTTCAAATTGTTCAGTAATCCATTCACGTATTACGCAACATCATAAGAAGATAGTTTAATAAAAGTATTTCAAGGATAATGCTTTAAACCTTTTTTTCATTTAATGCAAAGAGATTCATGTTTGCTGATGAGATAAGTATTCGCTGGATGGAAATACTAAGTTTAACGTTTTATGGATATCGTGGGAAGACATTTGAGCAAGAATATCAAGTGCAAAGCATCGATATGGTGCATCTTCAAGTGGAATCCTTAGTTTAATTGGCAATGTACTTTTGTACTGAATCGGATCATTATTAATCAAAACTTCCAACACACTTGAACGGAAAACTGGCGCAAGTTAGAAGGAAATTTTTAATGTCTTACTACTTCTTACAAAAATAGATTTAAATAAACTTAATAAACACAAAATGTAAAGATAGTTGGTGAGCGGCGCCGGTGGTCTAGTGGTAAGCGAGATTCCCTCTCACCCCAGCAGGCCTGGGATCAATCCCAGCCGGCGCCACCAGGATGTTCTGAGGCATAACATCTCTGATCACGCCTTCCTTCAGAAGAGAAGTAAAGCCGTTGGTCCCGGTTCATAAGTTGGTGAGTCGATTGGTAGGGTCCGGAAAACAAATCAAGGAGAAAAAATTAAGTTGGTGGAATGTTTAATAATTTATTAAATTTAAAATTGTTTTATAGTAAAGTTTACATTTTTCAAACCACCCGATTAAGCATGAGTATCACCATGAGCATGATTGACCGCCCGCGATGGAGTCAGCTCTTCGTAACTCCAGTGTCTGAAGACCAGTCAGGCGGTGGACCTCAGAGTTTCTAGTCCGCGATGGACTATTGACGATCATTCTCAGGATCTTATTCTAGATCCTTTGTAATTTGAGATGGTGGCTTTTTGCGCAACTCTCCCAGATTGGCATCCCGTATTCTATTACGGGAAGCATGATTTGTTTGTAGACAGCAATCCTATTTTTCAGGGACAGGGTAGACCTCCTGTTGATGAGTGGATACAATGATCTTATCAAGATGTTGTACTTGATTTTGCTTTTGTCAACGTGCTCTCTGAAAATCAGCTTGATGTCTAATGTTAGGCCTAGGTAGACTACCTATTTCGACCATTCCACTGTCCCGTTCAGAGCGAGCGGCACCGACACCGCTAACCATACAGTATACCGTGGTAAGGGAGAACAGCCCATAATGCACCCCTGGGGTAAAATGCCCACTTTTAGAAAAACAGCGATAACTTTTCCTCAGATGCATTTTCCGGGTAACGGTTTGTGATTGTTTTCAACTGGAGGTTTCACAAATAATTCTTGATCATAAAATCATGTATTGACCTGCTTATTCCTTAAAAAAAATTACATTTTGTGCAAAACAGGACACAGTTGTTAAAATCATCGACTGTAAATTAAGCTTTTATCATCATGTACCACAAAAAAAAATTAAAAAATTTACGTTTCGTATATTTTTTAGATATTTTACTTGATGAATCACAGTTTAACATTCTATTGAGATTTTGAGACCTTATTTCTGATGTAACATAAAGAAATAATCATTTGAAATACCGCATCCCTTTGCATTATCTACTTGCAGGGGTTATGGTTTGTTTACCATGGGGTGCATTTTACCCCAATGTGGTGCGTTTTGGCCATTGTTGTCGTGCGTCTTGTCCCAATGTTGTGGTGCATATTGCATCATGAATCAGGCGTTTTGCCCCGCTATCATTTTGGAAGCAATTTAGAAAATACCTTGAAAGTCATGGAAAATCATCCTTTTGTAGTTCTAAATCACTCGATCTTTGTAGAAAACATGGTAATGAACCAAACGCCATTACTTTCTTCTTGATTTTAGCTTCCATTCGCCAGCCATTGACGATTTTGCTTAAAGGTGCGTTTTGCACCATCCTACCCTATAGCCATTCTCTTGCATTCCTAAACTTTTCGAAACAATTGTCAACGAAAAATTATTTCTCCAAATCAAAAATAGAATTACTGACATGCAACACGGCTTTTTCAAGGGTCGCTCGACCTCGACAAATTTACTTGAATTTATAGACTATTCATTGAATGCAATGGATAATGGAAACCACGTAGAAGCTCTCTATACAGACTTTAGCAAGGCATTTGACCGCATAGACATTGCAAAAAATTGGAATTGAGTCAGGGCTCCTAAAATGGCTTGAATCATATTTAACTAACCGCCAACAGATAATTAAATTCAACGGAAAGAAATCGAGTCCAATTCAAGTCACTTCAGGCGTCCCCCAAGGCTCTCATTTGGGACCTCTTCTTTTTATTCTATACGTAAACGACATTTCTTTCATTCTCAAAAAAAACTTAAATTGCTTATTTATGCCGACGACATGAAGCTCTTTTTGAAATAAGAAATGAAGAAGACATCAATATCTTCCGGAATGAAATACACATATTCTACATATGATGCAAAAAAAAGTCTACTAGAATTGAATGTAAAAAAATGTAACTTAATATCATTTAGCAGGAAAAGAACAACTTCAAATATTTCAATTGCACTAGGAAATCAAAATGTAGAAAAACGTGAAAGAGTTAGGGATTTAGGAATTATCTTAGACTCTAAACTAACTTTCATAGACCATTACAACACAATTATTCACAGGGCAAATAACATGCTAGGCTTTATCAAGCGATTTTGCTATAACTTTCAGGACCCATACAGAATTAAAACACTATATATCGCCTATGTGAGGTCAATACTGGAATATTGCAGCATTGTATGGTCTCCTTTTTCAATCACGCACGAAGAAAGATTAGAATCCGTACAAAAACAATTTCTATTATACGCTCTTCGTAAATTAGGTTGGACATCATTTCCTCTTCCATCATATGAAGCACGCTGCTTGCTTATAAACATACAAACATTAAAAGAGCGTCGTAAATATGCAATGGTTTCATTTGTAAGCGATATCGTTTCGCAGCGCATTGACTCCACAGAACTTTTATCAAAATTAAATTTCTATGCACCTACTCGGCAACTCCGAAATCGAAATTTATTTGCCTTAAAACATCATCGCACAAATTATGCAAAATATGGGCCATTAAACCGCATGATGGCCTCTTACAATCAATACTGCGAAACCATTGACTTTACAATGTCTCGGCATAAACTAAAACAATATTTTTACTCCATAAGGCATTATAACTCATAAAAAATAGGAAAGCTGACACTGCTTAATTTTTATTAAAGAAAAAATTATACTTTTAACCTTTTGTCCAAAGTTGACGAAATAAATAAATAAATTTAAGAAAACAAAACTGTATTCTAATATGTACTAGTCTACGTTGGTTGACGAAATAAATAAATAAATAAATAAATAAATATTGAAATCTCGGGGTAGTAATGCATGCTCGTGGTAAATTTATTCTTTGATTTACACGATGTTCTAGAAGACGCTTGAAGTTCACCATTTTTTTTTTCAAAAGTATATTATTGAAAATCAATAGTTTTACCTATTGAAATCAATACGTAGATAAATGTAATGTATTATTAAATAACCGAGCTTTAAACGTTTCGAACCTAACCACTTTTCGTTACATGTTCATTTTTCGTACTCGCAGAGTTTATCCCCATATATAAAACAAAGAAAAATTAAAAAAAATGGGACACGACGCATATTAAACAAATGTCAATTGATAACATGCACATGTAGTTTTCCAACGTGTGCATAAAGCCAAGATTTTTTAAAGCGGAAATGTCATCGGTGATTAGGAAGCATCCATTAATTACGTCATATGAAAATAGGCCAACATTTAAGACCCCCCCCCCCCACCGTATAACAGATTGTCACATACTCCCTGCCTCCCTTCCACACTGTTACGTCATGCAATCAATGCCCCCCCCCCCACCCTCTTTTCGATGAACGATGTAAAAAAAATCGTGAATTGAATCAAACAAAACGACTGACTTTCTATGGACTTCTTGGATCGTATTCCGACAACTCGGAAGTGCTTCGGACATCTCAAATATTCTACAAACTACACAGAAGATCTACGGATTTCTCGGAAATTCAAGGTTTTTTCGGATGATCCACAGACTTCTTGGGAGTTCTATAGACTTCTCAGAATTTCTTTGACCTTATCAAAAGTTTTACGGACTTCTAGGAAGATCTACGCTTTTTTATACTGTACAGAATTTTCAACGAACTTCTCACAAGTTTAAGGAATTTTTGAAAGTTCTACGGTCTGCTCGGATGTTATACGGACTTACCGGATATTCTATGGACTCCTCGGAAGCTCTATAGACTTTTCAGAAGTTCAAAGGACGTCTCGGACATTCTACGGACAATTCGGGAATTAGGTAGTTCTCCGATCTACGGACTTATCGGAAGATCTACGAAATTCGAAGAAGTTTTACGGATTTAGCGGATTTAGCGGATTTACCGGATATTCTGCAAACTTCCCGGAAGTTCTACGGACTTCTCGGGTAGCCTTCGGATTTCTCACGTTTCACAAAAAAAGTTCATAGAACTCCAGGAAAAACTCGAAACATCTGACTTGACTAACCCTATTGTTCACAGAACTTTTGAAAATTTCATAGATATGTTCTTCCTACACGCTCACGGATTTTATGTCAAGTACACGGAACGCCAAAAAAATTCAACGGAAGTTCTGGCTTATTCATGGATCTTACTAGACATGGACTGTATTGCGATTCTTTTTACTAATTACTAGTTCACGAAACGCTCAATGTTTCTAATGTTTTTTTTTTCAACTAGATCCCTCTTTGTTATTCCAAATTATTGAATTCTCAGGATAATAACAATCTAGCAATTTAAAATCAAATGAGCTATCTGTGCAATTTGAAAGTGAATAAATGTTTCACATAGCATCGATGTTCAAATGTTGTGGTTTTTGCAAATTTGAGTCAATTGAGTCAAAATTGATCTCACAAATTAAAACAATTGAGTCAAAATTGATCTCACAAATTAAAACTAAAAAATATGGTGATGTGACGTCACGGTTGAACAAATCCCCCCTTCTCCGTTTGTCACATTCGATCACGATCACTGATTTTATATTCATGCCACTGGATACGGGTCTGGCGTAATGGTTAGCATCGATGCTTCTCACACTGAAAGACATGAGTTCCAATCTCACTCCGGACAACTCTCGAGCAGTATGAAGAGATGAACTAGCCTAAGGCTAAAAATCTCTAAAATAAAGATTAAAAAAAAAAATCGAGCAGTATGGAAAAGGGCATATGTGCCAAATGTAAACAGTAACACGCCAACGCAAACTAAGTACACTTTGTCATAGAGCAAACTTTCTCTACAATGTGATGCTATTTGTTTGCCTGAATGAGTCTTAATTCGCGTGAAATCGACATTTAAAATCAATTTTCACATTTTGAACAAATGTACTTTTCACATATTGCTCTAAAAGTCATGAATGACTCATAATGCCTTTTTAATGGAAACTAAACGATCGATTCAACCCCTGGTGGTAAATAGGAGAACGTGGAAAAGAGCAGAAATTTTTGCCGTGAGACATAAGAAGCGGAAAACTTTTTTAACTTTTCCTGAAAAATTGATTCATCTGAGATGCTCCAAAACTTGATTGGCGTTTTGCAGTGAAACTTTTCCAAGCTTTCGCCACCTACATTTCGAAGTGCGAACTACTAGAAGGAGGATAGTTTCCAAATTTTTCAAGTAAAACAGATGCTTTTTGGGGAAAATCGGTCCATAAAGAAAAACTAATAATTTTCCGTGGAAACTTTTGCTTGAATCGTGTAAGAAAACGTGTTTGAAAACTATTTGTTACTATTTCGGTATGGATCGGAGATGTTTTCATGGCAAATTATGCATAACAAGTTTGCACTCACAGGGAGAGGTTACCTCCTGCGCAGCTGCATTTTTTGGAAAATGGTGAATATGTGCGATTTCCACTAAGATGAAAGTGGAAATTAAGTTAATTTACTTAGGAAAGGTTGTCTCATGCTGCTGGTAATAGAGAATTGGTTGTATAGGACGTTAATATTCAATAAATGTCCATTTTGGCCTTTTTTAAGCAAACATATTGATACTCAGAATTTTCGACGAAAAACGCACCGGAACTTGATTTAGTCAACACACACTATACTATAAAATGATGCTAGATGGTCTTCAAAGTGATAACAAGATTACAAATCACCTTTATTTTTAATTGTATTGTAATTGAGCAATTTACTTCTGTTTACATTATATTTACGATGCAGCATTGATGGAGCCGTGAAATGAAATGAATATATCTTATGAAAGTTCATCTGGAAAAGTCAAAGATGCACATCAGTCTGATCGTAAAAACGTTTTCTTCTTCAATTCGAATGTTATATTGGAAGGATTTTACGCAGGCTTGATGAAAATTATGATTTAATGCTATTTTTCACGAATTTTATATGCATTCTGTCAACATTATCATCATCATGCAGTGGCGACATCTGCGTTGAGCTTTTGCGGCAATCTCCCAATCAACAGTTGAAAGTTTTTATTCTGTATCATTTTTTCAAGGATACTGCTAGCACAGAGAACAGAAGTTGAGGCTTGAACAAAATTTCTCTATAAAATTAGAGTAAAGATTCGGCTAACGGCGACTTCCCCGCTTAAAACCCCTCTTTGACATCCTGATGGCGCTGGCGTTGCACAACTTACCCTAGACACTAAGTGCTGGTAGCGTCAAGTGGCAATTTTCAACAGAAAATTTATCGATACTAGCGCCAAATTGGTAAAAAGTGGAAAATTTATAGAGGAAATCAGGAGATTCTGGCACCACGTAACGGCGATGTTCCCTCTTATCTTTACACAAGTTTCGGACCAAAGTTGGACATCTGTTCTCTGTGCTGCTAGTGTCTAGGAATATTTTTGTTGAGAAAAATCGAAAATTATAGAAGTGCCTTTGTGGTTATGATTTTCCGGATTTCTAGTGTGTGAAAAGTTAAGATGCAAATCAGTTCATATCTGTGGAAAATCGTCAAATATGGAAATTACTAATAGAAATTGGCAAGATTATCAATGAATAATGATTTAAATAGTACTTAAAGGGGTTTCATTTTGATAAGTCTTTAGTGGGAATGACACTGATGAAGACTGCACATTGTAGTCGAAATACGTATCTGTCATGGATACCAAAATTTATTAAGTGGAATTAAATGGAAGATAACCCTTTTTTGCTGTTTTATTTAAACATTCCGCTAACAACCCAATTTCATTACATCATTAAATAAAATTGAAAACCATGCAGAAAAATCTATAATCTTCTTGATATCTATCATAAAGCAACCAATTTTAACCCGGTGATAAATTTGCCCCCGAATCACAATAGTATTTAATTTATTTTCTTCTGATCGTTTTAGAAATTATTTAATTTTTTTTCATATCAAGATGATATATAAGAGATCACGCATTTAAAATTCAAACTTCGATAACAGATAATAAGGGGGACCCCTAAGGATAGCTGCCGACCCCCCTCCCTGATCCTAAATTCAGCACTGTATGTGTTCTGTATTTGCAATTTAACATATGCGAAGCGAAATTCTAACAAAGAGCACTGACTTTTCACCTTGAAATTCAAACTAATTAACCACACACCTCATCGAATTCTCGCCAAAAGCCGGCTTACGAATGATTGAAAAAGCTCTACAGCAGCAGAAACCTCATTATTATGCGACTGCTGTTTGGATGCATCATCATTTCCTATGCCATTAAACTTACTGGCTGACAGGTGTAGTTTATTTTGCTTCGGTGGAAGTGGTGGAAAGTCTGCGTTTTCAGGTAAACGTTTCTTTGTTTAGTCTATTCCACTTTCTTTTCAATCAAACACATGCTTTTCGAGGTGCTTATGTGGTTTGTTCAAATGTTTTGCTCAATGAGCAGGTTAGCAGGTTGAAAGTACATAGTATAGCTAAATAGGCATCTATGAGAGTCTCCTAACTGAAAGTTGCACTTGTATAGATGTGTCAGTCGTCTGTGAAATATAATAAATGGTTCCTATTTTCAGTAATACGAGCTTCCAGTTTACAAAGACATTGGAGTTGATGCATATGAACGCAAAGTTTGTGTTTATGTTTTCTTCAGCCAACTGTAGGCTTTCTTAGATTTGAAAAATGCTAAACGAATAAATTTAAAAACTATTACGCGAAATTTTCAATAATTCTCATGGGGATCTTGCGTTGGAAATGATCTTATCAAAGTTTAAACCTGTGACAAATTTATACACAGCAAAAATAAATTTTAATATTACATCTAAGAGGAAGCACTTCAGTCATGTCGAAAATCTCATGTTATTTTTATGGCCACAAAAATAGACAAATGCATTAAAAGCAAATGCAGTAATTTTAGTTCGTGCACTGTATTAATGATAATTTCGTCCTTTTTGGCAAGTAATATAACACCACATTTTTGAAACGATTAAAGTGCATCCACTTTGATGTGATATCAAAATTATTGTTTTGCTGTGAATATTCTAGAAGCATTTCGGGGCTGGACATGCTCGTAAGCCTGAAGACACAACTAAGTGAACTTATCAGAATTTCAGCAAGTGTTTATCATGAGACAGCAGTTCGCATTCAAGCAAAATAATAAACAACCTTGAAAGCCACTTATATTTTGTAAATAAATCTTTTTTGTTGATTAATAGATTGTGAGAGACGCAAAACACCGGGGTTCGCTGTAAGGGCAGCCGGAGCATTTTACATGCAAAGCACTTTGATTACTGTCTAAACTGTAAACAGACACAATACAACCAACAACTGTCGATATATCTACTTCTTTCAATTATAGTCGCTATTTATGAATCGTGATCAGTGGCACAGAGGATCGACCCATATCTTTTGACACGTATCCTACTGTTACAACAAATAGGTCTTTTTCAGGATGAATACTAACCTACCCTATTTTGTTGTTGCATACTTTCAGAATCGGCCGAGCAACTTCCTGGGCCTATGGCTAGCTCGCCAAATGATAATCGTCAACCGTCGGGCATACCGTACAAACCACAACAGCCGCCTATGGACACGAGCTCACTGTTCCAGCACCACTTTAATACCTTCTTCAACGCACCAGAATCAAGCTTCCTCGAGGGTGGCTTCCCCGGCTTTGGCTTCTTCGACCTACATCAAAGTAAACCATGGTGGAAGGGGTAAGTCTGTGTCCATAAAGCGTAATTTTACGGTAATGAACGTTAGATTCGGTTTAATGGCTTCTAGACCAAATGTAGACGGTATTTTAGCTGTCAATGGAACGCTTGTGTTAGTGTCTGGAAATTAATTGCCCGTATGTTAGAGTAAAGTGATATTTTTTTCTCACGTTGTAAGTAGAAGCCAATATTGCCAAACAAGAAAGTTACGTCAAGTAGATTGTTTTTCCATTTTAACATACGCAAATTTACCGATGCGTTCGGCGGTGACATAATGAAGAGTTTGGAGAATGCATCAGACTGTTGCAAGTTCTAACATCAGGCGGAAGTCGCAAACGTGGTCTTTTGAATGGTCCTTTAGTCGCTGGCTAGTATATAATAGCGCACAGTAGGTAGTTAATATTTGCTTGAATTCTATGTATGTCAGACAATGATGCCCCTAGCATTCAATTGAATCCACTGAATGATGATATCAGCAGTTGAGCGCAAGTAGAATGGAAATGCCAACGATGTCGCAGTTGTTAAAGGGGTTGATTGTAAAATTGGCGGATTTCAAAACCCGTTCCTTTTAGGATATTCCAGAAATGCAGTATAATGCATATTTTATTGAATTACAATCCATGTTTTGGCACGTGAAATGCAAAAAAAAAAATGGTTATATGAACATCGTTAGTGTGTCTACTATCAGTGCAGTAGAGAGAATTTGCTGTGCCCTTGGAAAAACACGAAATCGTCGCCGCTTTCCTAATTGATTAAATCAAGCGGTGCACAGTGGGGATTTTTGCAATAAAAAGGCTTGAAATTGTCTGCCGCTGAAACCACACATTTTAGCATATGACTTTCTTTGGGAAAAATGCCAACAAATTTATTCTTCATATTTTGAATCGACGCACGCTGTGATAAGTGCATGTTTGGAGCCTATTTTACCCCGAAATCCAATATTTTCTGTAGCTTTTTTTTCCCATTATGATACTTCAATGATTCAAATTTTCAGTACCTTTTATCAGAAGTAGCCAATATGTCTTCTAGTAGTCAGCTTGTTCCTTTTAAAAACTATTGAAAACATTTATAGAGGATCATGGGGTCAAATAAACCAGATTAAAAAAAATAAAAAAATTCCGTATTTAAACTCAATATTAAAAATTTAAATATGAGATGCACAAAACACTCAGAAAGTGGATTACAATAGTCTAAAGGACAAAACTGATTCAAGTGCATGTTTTGAGCGTATTTTTCCCAGCATCTCATATTTAATTTTTTAATATTGAGTTTAAATTCGGCGAACTTTTATATTTTATTAAAAACTCTGGTTTATTTGACCCCATACTCTCCTGTATATGTTTTTTAAATAGTTTTTAAAAGGCACAAGCTGACTACTAGAAGACATATTGGTTACATCTGATAAAAGGTACTGGAAATTTGAATCAATAAAGTACCATAGTGGGAAAAAAAACTACAGAAAATATGGGATTTTCGGGCAAAATAGGCTCCAAACATGCACTTATCACAGCGTGCGCCAATTCAAAATATGCAAAATGAATTTCTTGACATTTCTACCAAAGAAAGTCATATGTTACAATGTGTGGTTTCAGCGGCAGACAATTTCAAGCCTTTTTGTTGCAAAAATCCCCGCTGTGCGGTGTATTGATTTTTTTCTGTGTTTGAATTTCCTTATCGATTTGATTAGAATTCTTCACATATTTTCTTTGGAATTTTGGCATGAACTATCTGCGAATCTTCACACAACTTTGTTAGAATTGTCGTATGCTTAGAACATGCGATATTTATTTTAGAATTCCTTTGGAGTTCGTGTCAAAATTGCTTTGAAATCGTTAAAATTGCTTTGAATTTCTTTACACAATTTCCTTTGAATTCTTTGTAGAGAATTCAATGAAAAAAAAAATCTTCCGGATTTCTCTCAATCCCTATGATTTTTTGTTCAGAATAAGTAAAAAAAAATACTCATATTTCTGCATAGTATGCACTTGGAGATCATCTCGCAAACCGCACGGATTTTCATTTATAACATAGTGTTAAGAAGAAAAAAAAAACACCCCACAGTTATTGTTAAAAAACAATTTTTGGACAGTCATTGCATACTAGAAGTAACTCAATCATTTTACAACCAATTTTCGATTTTTAAACGGCCTTGAAAAGCAAAAATATGTATGGTAATTTTGCTGAAATTCGTTGAAAAACTTCAAACGGCATTTAAGTGACAAAAACATGATCCTCCCCCACGCCATGATACCACTTGTTCTCTATGCAATCCTGAGGCTTTGTACAAAATTTGAGCCAAATTGGAAAACATTTACCTTTTTTTTTGCTCGATTTGTTTTCCGTGCTGAGCACCAGTGCTACCGACACCAGGGTGGCAGCTTCCACACCTGGACCCTACACCTATCGGTTCATCAACTCATGAACCGGGGTCTAACGGCTTTACTTCCCTCCGAAGAAAGGCGTGATCAGAGATGTTATGCCTCAGAACATCCCGGCGGCGCCGACTGGGATTGAACCCAGGCCTGCTGGAGTGAGAGGTAATTATGCTTACCACTACACCACCGGCACCGCTAACAACATTTACCTATTTGAAGCTATTTTTTCTGAGTAAAATTTAAAAATGTATGAAGAAACACCATTTTCAAAGTTTTATCAATTTGTTCCTATAGTGGCTTATGCAGTCTCCATACGCCAATATAGGAACACATTACACAAACGTACCTCCACTATTGGTTCGTTTACCCTACCATAATAGGAAATTATATGCTCAAAAACTTTGTCGAAGACCGAAAGACGATACGAGTTGATCAAGAAACGTTATTAGCATTTTATTGAAGCGATGTCTGAATGATTTGTTTTCTTTTCGGGCCGGCGCTGGCGGTATAGTGGTAAGCGTGACTGCTTTCTCACCCCAATGGATCTGGGTTCAATCCCAGCTGAGATCGGTCTGATTTTTCTAAGGCATAAAAAAGGAAAGTAAAGCCGTTGGGCCCAGCCCATGTGTGTTTGAATGGGTGCGATATCCTACGCAGGTGTGGAAGCTGCCTTCCTGCACATTCGATTGCCATCAATGGATGACAATCGATGTCCGTCGGTGATTGGCACTAGATTGCGGAACAAAGACCGACGTTAAATAAAGGAAAGAAGAAAAAGAAGACTTTCCTTTTTCTTCTTTCTTCTTCTTTTTCTTCTCCATTGCTTCAATAAAGTTTTATGATTGCATAGAGAACAAATGGTATTATGGCGAGGTGGGAGGGTCATGGTACCCTAATGGCGTCGAAACTTAGACGATGCTTGGGACTAGCAATCATCCTCAATGTGTAAAAACTGGTGATCTAAAACTAGGCAACACCAGCGCCGGCCGCGCCCTAACACAGGTCAAGAGAAGAATGGGTGGGAATGTGTTGACGTGACACTCCACCTCTGCACTTCCACGAGAAATCACTGGGATGTTGAATAAAAAGGGTCGGGATTGCAGCAGGATTCGTTTTGGTAAATGATATGCTGAATTGATGTCCTAACCAGGATTACTTCCACTCACTTGCTATAAAAATTCAATCTTTTTAAATTTGTCGAACCTCTTAACGGAATCCCTTTATGAAAAGCATTGAGTGTGTTGGTTTATTTCTTTTAAATTCCGTTATAATTGTTTATCTTTTGACAGATACGCATATTTCGTCTACTACTTGCAGACTTCATCAGTGCCAAGTGCTCATGATGGTGTTGAGTACTTGGCACTGATGAAGTCTGCAAGTAGTAGACACTCACTCAAAGCTAAGTAGTAGACAACACACTCAAAGCGCTTCATATAAAAAATTGTTTTTCGGAATTATGAAAGATTTAGATATTATAATTTTATAAGTAGTAATTGTATGTTACGAGAAGAAGTTGTAAAGTATGTGTTTGACACATACAATCTGTCAATATTGCTTTCAGAGCGTCACTATCAATGATTTTAGGATTCGTGAACTCTGAGTGAACGCTCACGAATCATAAAATCTATTATTGTAGCACTCTGAAAGCGGAATTGACAGGTTTTATGAGTTAAATACATGCTTTTCAGCCTCTTCATGTAACTTACAAGTACAACTAATCATTATTACGTCTAATGATTTAATAATTCCGAAAATAATTTTTTATAGCAAGTGAGTGGAAGCAACCCTGATCAGTGATGGAAATCAAGCGAGCATGATCCGATTTCCAGTTTGTCGTAAACTGTACAGATCGTGATCTGTACAAACTACGACCAACGATTAGTCCTCTTCCACCTTGAAAATACGTTGTTGCGTAGGCAACTCACAAATAACAAATACATTGTTAGACTGAGTCAACCTCAGAGAAGTGAGTTACCCTTTTCGCTCATTTTATCCACAAATCGCAACATGTGCTTTTTTCACGAGACGAGAGTGAGTGTCTCTCTGTGAGTAGCATTCTTTGGCAGTTTGGGGTTACAGAGCAATAGCAAATTTGTTTATTCCCCAGTCGCGCACGGAACCCCTTTGGATAAGGTTGTGTTTGTTCTCTGTTTTGTGCGTGCTTTCGCCTTCATAGTTTTCGGCTGCATTTGCCGGATTAGCGCTGGCACTCTGCCTCCCGGACGGTTATACGTGTGTGAGTGGTAGTTTTCTCGCTTTCCGAGAAGTTTTAGAATCGAGAAAGAAAACATGATTCATGATGTTTGCAAAATAACAAGCATCAGAAGGTGTGGCGCTGCGTGGTTTGATTGTTTCTCCCGGACCAGAAATTTGTGGCATAGCGAGTGAAAATTTTAATTCCAGTTTATGTACGCGCTGCAAGCCCAACTAACATTTTCAGCTTTGTAAGCCAACTTTTCCAGCGTTGTGCTGTAAAATAGCTGAAAAGAAGCTGCAGATACAGCTACAAGCAAAAGCTAGCAAAATAGTTTTGAAGAGCGTTTACTCAACTTTCTCACAACCATTATTCAATTTGTCAGTCGCACTGAATAACATCAGCCAATAAACGCTAATGTCACTTCTATACAC